TGCCATACATCAACAGTAGCCTCCTCAATTCCTCCTCCTTCTCTTCACATTGCTCCCGCGAGCTTTCATGCCAAGCCTGCGGGGAGAGGGGGCAAAATTGCCAAAAGTGTTCTTTGATTTTCTGCGAACCTCGTCCCTCAACGGATGCGAAACAGGTAATTGTTTGTGCTGAGGTGAGCGGCCCGGGAGGTGGCGTTCTTCAATGAAACAATTGGAAATGGTGGAAATGCCCTGTGTTCTGCAACACCTCTAGTTCTTGTCACATCATTGAGCTCCTTTGGGGGTGCCCATCACATCATCTGGTTTGCATCTGTGATTGTGGGAGGCAATTCTGGACCGGTCAAAGAGGCATGAAGGTTGAGTGGTCGTCCACAGGAGCAATCCTCCGATTGAAGGAATGCACAACAGCAAAACAGACCACCAAAGAACTACCAGGCTTTGAGTGCATAAGCTTTGACACGGCAGGTCTGTTATTAGCACTTATTAGCCATCATACCGGCTCGTCTGTTTCATCGGCTCGTCTTTCTTTCATTTCGGTTTCGAGACCTGAGACGCAACATGACGCGGTGGTCGGCTCGTCTGTCCTTCTGACTGCGATGTATTCTTGTTACTACTAGTAAGGCACTTGTTACTAGTAGCGATGCACTTGTTACTACTAGCTTCTAGCTACTACTAGTAATGCCCTTCATCTTGTTTTGTTTCGGCTTCTATAGCCTTTTTGACCTGCTCGTCCTTGCATGATCTTCATCTTGAGCTGGAGAGGTCCGTCCAAAGAAGCACACTCATGCATCTTGAGATGCCGGTGCTGTGGCCTTCTCATCTTCCAACTCTCCTTGGATCCTCTCTTGTTGATCTTTCACTGCTTTCAACTCCTGGCACAGCAACTTGGCAGCAAATCCTCAAAGTATTCCGTACTTGCATGTCCAGGCTCTGAGAATGGTCGATAACACGCATACCTCCTTATATAATTTCCATTGCCGCCACTGAACCTGCCTGTGGCGTCCACAAACTACATGGAACCATAGGGGGCGAACGTTGAAGAGCTAAGACCTAGCTATATAAAGATATATAAAGTATGCTGGAGTGTGGGAGGATCCCCACAACATCCACAAATCATGCAATACAAGACGGGCTGGGCATGGCAACATTCAGGCTCCTGCTTCAAATCTTGAATTCTCTTCTCATGGACGGCAATCTCCTTCTTCACAACGTCTTCCTGCACTTCAGAAAATGGCCAAATAGCGAGTCTTTTACTTTAGCGAGTGACAATGGGAAGCGTATGGAACCTTGATGAAGGACTTGATGAAAGAATGTTGGGTTGCAAACCTGAGAAAGTGTCCCAAATCTGGAGTTTTCTCTGAAACTCACACTTCAAAGGACTATTCCTGTCTACTTCCTGTGACCGATTGGAAGCCAAACTTGGCAGAAACCAAACAGTAACATGATGCTGTTAATTGGTGTTACCGTTGTATATTAAATGCCCGGAATCATGCATCGGTGCCATGACCATAAATTTCCCTGCTTAGCCCACTCTTGCTCAAGCTCATTATATAGAGGTTATCCCTGGGCTCTTCTCCCAGTCATCTCCTTACTGACGGTGAGTCTTGGATCGTCTAGGACCTCAATCGATCTCAATCGGCCTTCTTAGGACTCAGGAAATCTGAACTGCAAAAGGAGAGAAAAACAAACAAATCCATCTCCGGAGTTCGGACCACCAATTGACGCGTCGGACGGGCGTTCCAAACCGTTGTTTTGGAACATGACGTGGCTGTGGCTCTGGCTAGGGCCAGCGGTTTTAGAGTAAACGGGATAAACCCAAGGGCCCATATACGATATAAAATGAGGTTGTCACGATCCATCATAGAAACATTTGCTGACATTCCGCAGGTTCAAAGTAACATTTTCAAAACCCATCGAACTCCAACCTCAGACCTGGCCTCTTCTGCCATCATGGCGTCCAAGCGAATGGCCTCTTGTTTCCATGAGACCTGTGGTGCCAGTCTCTTCGATCGACTCGGGAACCGTACGGCTGTCCAGAACCGTATGGGTGTAGCACCGTGCCGCACTTGACATGGTTCACATCTGGGCCCTAGGGCTCCAGTCGTGCCTCAGAAGGTATGACTGGACCCAAACCCAGCCCAAAGACCTTCTCAAAAGATCAAAAGTACGGAGGAGCCCTACTGTAGGGATGGTCAACTGGGTTTGGGCCATCCACTCTAGCAAATATTCTGACCAAATCTATGTTTGTTGGCAGGCCCTTTGATGGTAAACAAGAATAACATGAGAACATGGCTGACCCAGAAACTGCCCAACTGCCTAAGAAGGTGGAGATCCTACGAGTTGGCCCAACTGACATGCCACTGATCCAAGTTTCTTTGGCGACTGACATGCCTCCCTTGAGAACATTTGAGAACGGGCACCGTAAATTCTGGATGCGGCTGTTGACCCGATTTCCGGCCAGGTGCCGGTGAGTGAGAAGCCCTGACCTTCACGGAATGGAAGACCGATGTGCTGCCCAGAGACAAATTCCACCTGCAATTCAATGATGCGAGTGAACAGCACATCGCGCTTCCTGAGACCAGTCAGTGCTGGTGATGATTTGATGAACCATTTCTTAAGCCTACGTGCTTGTTTTGAAATGTTTTCAGAATGCGGTGGATCGCAGAACCCGGGACATCGTGGGAAGCAACGCACAACCCACAACAAACACCCAATCATGAATTCACATTGTACATGTCGATCAACAGAAATCTTTGTCTGCCCATTCGCCGGGTGGTTTTAGCCAAAAAACCGCTGGTCCAGTGGTGTCCAGTGCCGCACCACAAGCGCCAGTGGGAATTGGAAATATCGTCCGCAACTCTATACTCTATAGATAACAGCAAACAGCCAAACAAAGCCAAATAATTAACATAAAGGGAGTGGCCGCACTCTTTGCCAAGAGGCATGGCTTTGTGATCATTCTCTCGCTCCAAGATCTGCTGTTGCAAGTCTTGTGCCTCGCCATCAGCGTCCGAAGTTCATTCCGAGGGTTGGCATTCACGACCGAAGGTGGGGTTCCTGGAGGATTCTGCGAGTGAGTCCGAGTGGGTGGGGTGCTTTCAGAGTAAATGGCACAAACCCGAAGATGTACTTTAGAAGGGGGTCCATATAAATTACCAAACGTGAGGATATGGCAATCTCTGCAAAAGATGGCGCACTCGCGTCTTTTGTGCCGCATTGTTAGGCGGGCGGTTTCAAAAGGATTGCTTTGGTACACTGAAAATCCGGAAGCCACTTCACACACACACACACAAATGCACGACCCCAACGCTATACATCATGCACCTAGCCTGCCAATCTGAAACATGCATGCCATCTACTCTGATGCCACTGTACATGATCAACAACAACGTTGCAACAGGTTGTGCCCAAAGGCTCGTGAGGACTTCCTGGCGTATCTATCTATTAAAGATATCTTATGTAAGGGCTTGGATTGAGTACAAGAGGGGCTATGGGGTGTCGATATGTGTCGATACACCAGCTATGCCACTATGCTACCTCCAGCAATCATGGCAGCTTCCAACAAGTGGTCAGCTGTGTGCACTCCATGCAAGGTCCTTAAGTGCCAATTCCAAGCTAAGACTAACGTAAAGCCTGAACGAAATAAGCCCGCAAAGAAACTTTTCCATCCATCAAAGGTCACACAAAAGAATCGGAAGGGCCTAATGTCGGAAAATCGAATCGACCACGGCCACCCCGCAGTTCTTCCGTTGGCGGCCGCAGTCCATCAAGGTCTCAGGAGTTCTCGCCACGCAGAACGCCTCTTTTTCATACCTCTTCGCTAAGCGCTTTGAGTCGAAGGGCGATCTCCAAGCCGCTGAAATCCTCTGGGCATGTAGGCAGCGCGAAGGTTCTGGAGGGGTTCCTTCGCACACTTCGGTGGAATATGGACAAACTGCCGGTGGTCCCCCACCTTCGTTGTAGCGTGCATGGAAAGAATCAAACGTTGCACTTGTCACATATGAGCTGCTGTGGGACAGGGGCTCAGGCAGGATACTGTAACTAGGCCTCAAACACCCAGACTCACTATTTCAATGGCAGCTGTCACACTTCTCAAATGTGATGCTGTGCTTAGCACAGCTCACCATTTCACGCAAAACAAGGTTCGGACCTTTGTCCAAACACTCGCAAAGCACTAACAAATGGACTGTCCCAATAGAAACAACAAGAAAACACATAGAAAAACCTATGAGATCCTATGTGCACCTTCCTGTGGTTCCTAAGAACAAAACGGTGAAGGAGGTGGTCGCTCACATTAATGACTGGCTGGCCAAACACATCATCTAGCCACGGAATATCTTTGGGCTCTGCCCTGGAAGGCAATGGATAGCACTGACAGCCTCAGTGGATGGGATATGTCATGTTCAGAACTGCAGTGGGTAGTAGATGTTATCTGGAGTTCTTCTCGCAGGCTGCGGGCCCCTGATTCCTGATTCTAAGCTTGCGATAAGGGTTGATGTCTACACTCTGGCGTAGACTCTAAAATTCAACTCCTGGAAAAAAGTAGAACACATCCTTCGCCGCAAATATATCATCACAGCAAACCAAACCCAAGCTGGGGGAACTCGAGGCGCTTGTCCCATTGCATACCCAGTGGGTGGAGTGGCACCATCACTTGGATCACCCACGGCAACATTCCACCCCTGCAACATCACTTGGTGCCTATACATGACAGTTGGGACTCGACTTGGCCATGCCTAGAAATGTTGCACCACGTGCGTGATTGAGTATGATCACCACCTCGGTACAACCCAGGAGCAAACAACTACTGAGCCAAAGTCGGATAATACAAATTCTTCAAAACTTTCCAACAAATGCATTGCATCTTTAACGCTAGTCATTCCCATGCCCAAGCAAGCCTGACGCGTCATCGCCCAAATCCTCTAAAACCGAACCATCTCCAGCCGCCGCGATTTGCTCCACAAAAGAAGCCTAAAAACACCGAGAGGTCTCTCCCGGCCTCACACCCGCTCGGTGGGCAGCGTGGCTTCGCTTCGCCTGGTCTGCAGGTGTTGACCCGTCTCGGTGCTGTCTGCCCGTTCGACGTGCCCAAAAACCCCGAAGCATCGTTGGAAGTTCATGGCACTACACGAAACTGTCCGTCAGGTCGTCATTTGAGATCCCAAGCAAGGGCTCATGACATATATGAAAATGAAGTTGGTGAAATTTCCAGAGGCTGTCAAAAGACTTCACTACATCTAATTTGGAGGAAACAATTTCAAAACAATATATATATATGTGTGTGTGTATTGTATCAAGGAGGTTGGAAACAAACATGTCTGTGTTCCCCCTCGGGGTTGTCCTCTTTCATGTTAACAATCGTCAGGGCCCGACCGTCCTCCCCGCCCAAGAACTCTGCGCAACCTCTGCGCACCCCGTGTGCAGCCAGGCTTCAATGCCTCCAACTCCTTCGAAATCTGGTAGGTCTGCCGCCTCAAAGGCATCAACAGTTTCTGCAACTGCAAGGCCCAGGCAGGCATATCCAGCAGCAAGACCTGGAGATGATGAAGTGACATATTGGTCCTATGGATGGCCACTCTTTGGATGGCACGGGCAGTTTGTGGCACTCACTTGGATGGCAATTACACTCGGAAAATTAACATGGAACATCATGGAACCTGAAAGTGGACCTTTGGAAGACTATTTTTCTCTACAACCCAGTGGTTTTCAGGTTCCATGTTGAATTTCCAGTGTGTGTGTATATATGGTATCATGTGATTTTCTAGTAGTGCAACCATGCCCATGCTGGTGTGGATAGTTCGATTGCTGGGTTCCACACAAGAGGCTGCCAGTTTCTTTGGCCTCGTAGTCTTAGTTAATTGGATCCCCAAATTATATACAGTACATCCAATCACTGGCTTTTTGATTGGGATTGCTGTGGCAGTTTTCAGGTGGCTTGGAGCAAGGTCATGTGTTCCTCAGGGCAACAAATTGGGACGCGGTTGACAACCAAGGCCGAGACCTACGTGTTCTGACTCCTGATGATTCCCAAATCCTGACAGTCACATGGAGCAAAACCAAAAATGGCCAACTTTCCCGAACCCAAAATCAACCTTCCCAATCCTGACATGCTTTTGGTCAGTGACACGGAACACTACGCATGAACCAGAACTGAGGTTCTCTCTCACCCAATCTGGGTTGAACAACCACTGATTGCGGAGATATGTCGGTAGGAAAACGAGAAGCGTTCTTCAGTGTGAACGAAGTGGTTTCAATCTCTTTGTCGTCCTGGAGTCTTGGAGTGATTTTTTCTTCTTCGCCCGAGCCAAACTATGTCATCTGTTGAGATGATTTCTGAATGCCCCTTCTCTCCTAGGCCCTCTTTGGCTCAGCCAGCAATACGTCTCACAACACTAACACATCAGTTGTGAATGGCTTTGAACGTTCCATGTTCCCAGAAACCCCTCTCATATTATCACCTGCCCACATAGCCGTGAATAATGCAGATGGTGCAATTGAGGCCGGTCACTGTGAACAAGCCCTCCAAGAACTCAGCTAAGCCTGGATCCAAAGAAAAAAACTGCTCAAGTTGTTCCCCCAAAGAAGAAAAACATGTTACTGTGCATTCCGAATAGGTGGCTCAAAGGCCACCAATTGACTAAACTGCCACTGTGAGAGCAGCCTCAACTGTGTGTAGTCTGCAATCTTTACACTCATAATCCAATCATTCTATCTAACTTGGCCATGACACTCAAGCTACCGCCACCATCTGCGTCCAGAAGCTCGAACATGTCTTCCATGCTGTCGACCTGAAGAGCAGCTCACATTGAGCGGAGTCGTAAGATCCTCAAAACTGTGGATGGCGCTGAGTATGCAGCATGCAAAGTCTGAACCCCGAGTAATAGTAAGACATTTGGTCAAACATCACCCACAAGGATGCTTAAACACCGAGACTCAAACGTAGGTGAACGCCGTGTTTCCCCCCGAAAGGTGTTTGGAGAGCTGTATGTAGTTAGTTCTAAAGTTCTGACCGTTTCATCAGGGAGAAACAAACCGAAGGGCCAGGCGTCGAATGAGCCGTGTTGGCCATTCATACCCAAACCTTTCACCTGAAAACACATGTGACTTTGCCATCGTGCTAACATGTGTTAAACAAACAAATTGTATCAAATTGTAGTTTCATGGTGAAATATAGCGATATAAGGTGAATAGACTAATTCATCAAAAAATCCAAGAGACAGTGACCTTCTCATAGACCTTCTCGGGCAGCACATGCAAAGGCACATTGGCCACCTCTTCACGTGTGATGTAGCCGCTCCCATCCTGGCTATGAGGTGAACCGCACGGTTTAGTGGATCGTCTGAACAAAAGGTCCATGGTATTGAAATGCATTCAACATTTGTGTGATGCAATTGAAGGCTCTTTTTATATATACATGTGTGAACATGAAGCCCTGCAGTGGTCCTTCACATCCCGGAAGACAGCACCCGCACCTGGTCTAAGGCCGAAAAGATCTCCAGCAAGTCGGGCAAAGTGGCCTTGATCTGCTCTTTTGTTCTGATGCGTGCAAGCTCCGCTTCTTGAGAGGCATGCTCCAGCGCATGTTCCTCAACAAAAAAGGGAGCCCGAGGGCTTCAATCCAGGACATGTCGAGGGGTTGTCCCCCCAAACAGAGGCAAAATGAAACAGTAGGGACTCTGCCCAGTGGAGATTGATGCTTCATGTGCCGTCCCACGGTTGAAACCTTTACTCTCTCGCTGTTCCTCACAAGGCAACTGGTGCAAACCTGAAACAAATTGACATCCAACTCAAACAGAAACTCAGCCCAAGAGTCCACCAAAACCGCAGTGACCAAGTTCATCAACGCGATTGACAAGAACAGCAAAAGGGGCAGGAAATAGATGATCAGGAAGGGTTTCTGCATGACCAGCGGAAAGTAGATGTTGGCGATCCCGTCCTCGGTTTCATCGCTCAAGCCACAGGTGGACAAAGCATGCGACTGATGCAATCCTGATTGCTACATTTTGTCCCTGTTCTTGCCTGGTGGATGATCCTTACTTTCATATTCTGAAATTCATGAGGTGCAGCCGGTACAGCTCCACAATTGCCTCCCAGTCATGGTCATGCGGCACCATGTGCCCCAGCACGCTGTGAGTGCCTCCTCTTTGACTGAAAGCCTGCTTGGGTGATCTTAAGCCACCTGCCCAGTATCAGTCATTGACTTGAACAGTTGAAACATATACATTGAACAATACCTTGAAATATCCTGAAGCTACCAACCGCCTGCTACTGACATTCTTCACCGTTGGTATTTTCTCGACTTGAGGTGCCCACCCCTCAAAGATGATCCCCTCATTGACCCCCCCTCCACAAATCGACAAAGCCGTATCCAAACACCGGGCCAAAGGAGTTATTACTGCTCCTCTTCAGCCTGTTCCATTCATTCCGCCCATTCCTTTCCATTTGGTGGTAGGTGGGATCTCATTCATGAGCCTGGAATCATGTATATAAAGTACCACGCTCAATTTTAGGTAGAAATCACATATTCAATTCCACGCGTGACCTTTCGACTTGAACCATGCCTTTCATGTTTGCAGCCTTTCATACGCCAAAGCCTTGCCTTTCATCTCACAAAACCAAGTGATTTCTTTCTGGAACCATCCTTTTTCTTGGCTTGGCTTCCCCCAATAAAGCATAAAGCTTCCGAACATATGTTGATTCATGTCCGAAGTGAAAGGCTCACATCGCCATTGTCTAGGATTCTAGGGGACCTAGGCTACCTTACATTATCTTACATTCTATATTCACATAATTAATCATGTGCAAAACTTTGTTGCTCCTTACGCATTTCTCGTCTTTGAACAGTGGAGGTTGATAGATCTTTTTGAATTGCATTACCATCAGACAGTCAATAGCAATAGGCCATTGCATCCTGTATGGAACAATCTTCCACAAGCAGCGATTCATTGTAGGTTGTCCCTTGGTGTGTTCTGGCCGAGCCTGTATCAACATCCCTGATTTCACAGGCACCCTCCAAACAAGTGTTCGGGAGCTGAAGCAACTGCAGCCCAATACAAACTCGAATCGCAAATATGTTTAGAATCTTAGAATGTAGCCTCCAATTAGAAAGTCGTTGGAAACCAACACTATGCCATTTGGTCCCAGATTCCATGGTGACAAACTGCAACAAGGTGAGCGTTGCTTTGGGCAAACTGCTGAAGCTCCTCCGCACGATCCCTGCCGTCTCCGGATAGGCTTTGAGATCCGGGTCATTTGCAATGACCTCCACAGCGATACAACCTCAGCTGCCATTATGGCACGGCTGGCACACCAAAAGGAATGGAACTGTGCGGGTCAATTTTTGGGTGGCGCCGACCAAGCGAAGGGTCTTTGACTCACATCTGACTACGGCCTGAACGCACAATTTGGAAAAAACATGTAATGCAAGGCATCAGGGACATCTATCAAAAAAGCGGGTTGGTATATTGCAACCTTAAAGGCAGAACCGGGATCAACGACGAGGTTTCGGATCTATGAACAGTTCAAGGCACCGTTCGAACCTAGCGTTTGTCGCGGGGTTCTGTACAATGGTCTGCAATGGTTTCGGAGTGGATGAGCTGCCAAACCTACAAATGACACCAATTGGGTTCAACCACTATAATTGGAATTGAACAACAAGAGTGGCATTCGATACACCTGCCAACCTGCAACATTTAATATATTTAATAGACAGAATTGCGAGGAGTAGATCCAGCCGCCAGGGTTGCTTCATACGCCATCTAAAACGGCGTAGAAGTGAGGTGCCAAGCATGGTTAACCTCAACAAACTCATGAGGCTATATCACACGATGCAAACTTGCATCGGTTCTTTGGCCGAAAGAAGCAAAACGATCACTTGCTAATTGTTATTGCTCCTCGCCAGCCACTGTGCACCACTATAAGGAGGGCAACGAGCCATAGTCTTCATTCAACACAAGCCAACACACAAAAAAAAAACTCCCACGCAGCTAAACCGACATGGCAGGTGTCCTGCAGGGCCAATGGAAGGATTTGCACCGAGAAAGTGGGCCTAACGTGACCCCACCAGTCGTTTGGCGCATTTTCCGAGCCCGCACAATGTCGGGCCGCCGAAGATGTAAAGAGCCAAGAAGATCAAGATGGTCCTTGGCCATCGGATGGCACTGATGGGGCTCCAGTGTCGGTGAGGCAAAAACGACTTCTATGAATCCAAGAAAACTAGAACCGCCCATTTTGCCCAAAAAGCTGGCGTGTCTTGCTAAGCAAATCTTCTAAAGTTGTATATTGCTATATAATATTGGAGAAGCATGCAAATGTAGCTATAAAATAATATGATAAAATTTTCTAGCATGCTGGTCACCCCTTTTCACACAACTCACTCATTTGGCAAATTGGCTTTCTTCAATTACAGCAATCTGAGCCCCAGTGCTCCCAAGGCACGTTGAGGCCATAGTGTCCCACACGGAGAGCAGCCCATTGACGAGGCGCCAAACCACCTGGAGTCGAGGCACATCCTTCTTGAGGCTTCCCCAGCATGTTGCTTAGGACGCTAAACTGGCAAAGTTCTAGTGTCACAGGAATGTCACAGGACTTTAAGCCATGTGGAGGCTGTTGCACCACGTTTTTGGAGAATGTTCATCACCAGCGTTGAGAGAAAGGGGGTGCTTAAATCGGCTGATATAAATACTTAAGCGCCTCTCTCTATATATAAACATATATTATATAATATATATATATATTATATACAGTATGCTTGAGTATAGGTGGGCTACGTGTTTGGAGCTCACTGGCGGACCTCGGTCCATCTCCCGTACGCCTACGGAGCTCCATCCGAAGGACACCGAGTGGTGGTCGAATCAAAGGACACCGAGGGACCTTGTGAAGAACACCCGTCTGCCCCCAAAAAGCATCCCAAATAACATTATAATAATAAGTCACGTGCAGTCCTAGAAACGATCCAATACTCATGATGGTTGTTGATGTTGAAAAAACTCATCGGTCTCATCACACTTGGAATCTGTTTGTTGACCCTGAGTAGGTTTAGTCACTACGAGCATTCAAATGGCATTCTCGCAGTCACAGTGGACCCCACCTTGAAGCGCTTCACCGTCCGAAGGACCCGGGCCAAACGAAGCAAGCGGAGGCCTCCCACAGCCCCCGGCGAAACACGGCGGAAAGCAAAACGTAGATGATCTTAGATGTGTTCGACCATCCAGCATGTCCGGAAGATTAAACAGTCTGACAACGACCAACATCGCGGTCGTTGGTGTTGCATGGCATGTGCATGAAACTGACCATTCCAAACTGCAAATGAACCGTTCCGCCCCACAAAACTTGCTGTTGTTGGTCTTTTTAGGGCTAGTTCTTGCTCGGCTAGTTTTGAAAAGATATTGACTTGAAACTTGGGACAAGTCATGGAAGTAATGAAAGTCATATGAAAAAAGTTCTTGACTAAACCTTTTTTAAAGTCACAGTCACCACACTCCACGAGACGTGTTTGGAACAAAACAACGAACACAAGCGGAACCTGTGCTTTGTGCCTTGCCGTTGGCTCAAAAATGTAACTTCTGCATAAACCAAAAGTCAGCACAAGGTTCAGCGAAGAATCTGGACCAAAGCCTTTCAACCGCCAACCGCTAAATCTCAACATCAGGGTCCCCCGCCTCTGACAATCAAAAGCTGCATCCAGCCTTCCTGGGAGCTGGCCTCTTGCTCCACCAAGGGCACAACCACCAAGGCCACCAAACCCACGCAAACCAAAAACAGGTCCAGCCTCAGTGGGTTAAACCGCCATCCAACTTGGGATTTGACCAAAGCCACTGCTTCACACGTAGATGACCCTTTCTTCGTCTTCAGCCAGACGAAGTTGGCCAGGGAAGTTCCGAAATGCCTCGATGAAGACCATGTTCCAAAATGTCCCAGATTGTTGTTTACCAAATTGCCTTCAGCACAGCTTGCATAAGTGTTCTTGGAGGATTGACAAAGAAACAAAAACAAAACCAAACTAATATATGTATAGTTAAAGTTATATCGTTGGGATGAACCCCAAAAAATGTGAAACCACCAAAAGGTCGGTGCATAACGCATCAAACCAATCAGTCTTACCTGACATGTAGCAGTCCGTCTCTTGTCGTTGGACGCAACGCGTCCGTATGTATTTGCTCCGTCCCATGCGTCTGCCACACGCGGCAGAGACGGTGGACGGAAGAGCTTCCATCATCGGGGATGGGTGTCTTGACATGTCAAGACATGTCTTGACATCCCACTGGATCCCACTGGCCCACATTGATATGTTCAATATATACTTTTTCCATGGTCCATTTTCGGGTCCAGGAGAGATGGTTTTCGGGTCCATTCCTCTGGTGTGTTTTCTACACTCATTGGACACCCTTCTCCCAGCTCCCCACCTGGAATTGGTTGGAAACCAAACTCCAAAAACGCACAGTCTGGTGCCTGTGGCCGGAAACGCCCTTTGGAAGTCCTTCCTGCACGTACAAGATGACATCTTGTGTTTGCTTGAAGCATGTGAACCTCCCAGAGAGCAAACAAACAACTCCTCAACCAAGGCGACAATCTCCATTTGTGAAAACAAACCTTCTAAACACATCTATAAAAACGACAAACATCGGCGACGGATGGCCAAGGCAGGCCCGCTGCGGCCAAGGCACAAAAACCAGGAATTATGGAAGGCCTCTCGTCCACCTGCAGTGAGTCGAATGAGTAGCTCCACTGTGTAGAGCCCCAAGAAAATACGCTCAATGTCAGCGGCCCACCAGGTGTCCTTGCCCAACAAATCCATCTCAGCCTCCGAAACTCGGTTCCACGGGCCCAAACAAAAAGGGATCGTCTGAATGGCCTCAAAAAGGTCCTGTGGTACTCTAAGCGACACACAGTTCTGTTTAGATTTGTGTATTTTTTTACGGGGTGAGCGGGTGAGCTCACTAGCATTGACCCTTCATTTCAGTGCTCTGTCCGCTCTGTCAATGTTTCTTGACTTCTTCTGTGGTCGTAGGGGTGCACAGGTTGTAAACCGCACCAAAATGTCACCAATTCCCGAAATCAGGAATTTCATGCTCACATGCGTTGGCCAAACCAAACACTTCCCACCAGTCGTCCTTTCGCAAAGAAGCTAGGAACTTCAAGGAACAACCAAACACACAAAAAGAAAAACAACACAAGACAGAAACTGGCTGGCCTCGACACCAATGAGTGCTATATTCATCAGAATCAACATCCCCGTCAAGTATTCGAAGGCTGTGGAGTCGACCACCTGGGGAGGCGAGCATGTCAGTCATCCTTGGTTCCTACCTCAAAGCACTACCCAATTAAGAAGCTCAATGTCCCAAAGAATGCTTAAACTATGTTGATCAAGGGTCTTGTACTGCGTGAAGGAAGGCCCTTCGATGTGGGGCTCTTTCAGTCTTTTGATACGAGTTTACTAAAAGGATACTAAAGGATTCTAATTTAGGTATAAACATGGTCCTTGGTGACATTTCGGTTTTGAACCTCTTCGGAGGCACCCTGGCTTTCTCACATCCTGAAACCCTCCCTGGCTCCTAGAACCCCGAAGCCTGGCTCCTGATTGGATCCTTTTTGGGGCACACCAACCGGGCACACCCCATTTAAGCGAAAATCGACCAAAGCTTCTTTATTCGGCAGGGGGGGATAATGGTGAGTTATTAAAAATTGGTTCGAGGTTACTTATCCTTGCCGCTTTTCAGCTCACTAAGCAGCCAATCCGGCGGTTGTCGTGAGGTTGCGAACCCGGCAACCAAGCCGCTGTGATTGTGAGTGTTATATAAATGTGATGCGTCCATCTTAGGCTCATTCCAACCCACCAGAACTACCATCGCACTGGCATATTACCACTGCCAATGGATCTTCCTTGGCAAGCCCCAACTGGCCAAGTTCTCTTGTTCCATCTGGTGGCCAAGTTCCACCCACTTCCAGCACACACTTCTTGCTTCGCACTAGTGCCTCCATTTCATCCCAAAGGCCACCCGTAGACCATCAGCCTTTCCCATGCAGTCAAGAAACCATCTTTAAGGTTTCACGTCTCTCCTGCCAAACCGTCAACCTGATCCTAGCACGGCAAAGGTGGGCGAAGACACACCTCTTGAGAGGCATCTACACCGCAACAAGAACAAAGGGTAGGCCCTCAGGTCCAAAAATAATGTTCAAAAACAAGGCTGAACCTTCAAGGATCCATGCACCAGCCAGCTCAGTCTCATATATCCCTCCCCGAAGAAAGCAACCCAAAGAAGTCAGCGAATCAAAAGCAGGACTGTCAGGCACACCTGATGGCTTTGGAAAAGGTGCTTCCACATAGAAAACAGGTGTCACAACGACTCTGGATGGCCCAAGTGTATTGGAAGGACGTGCATATTGCATTGCGCCATCGGTTTCCACAGTGAAATATTGAAACACGGTCCTGCCACCATCAAAAATAAATAGTTCTGAAACAGCCACATCCACCTCCAACATCCTCCAACTCCCCACCTCTGTTGCAAACCTCGGGCCGTCATGGCATCTGACAAAATGCCCATCTATCACAAGAACCGCCCTCTTCCGGACTTGGGCCTCCTTTTGCCCTGGTGGTCGGTCAGGACCTCTTCCAAGAGCTTGGGCAAGCGACCGTCGGTGGTTTGCCTCGTGAATTGGAATGGCAAAAACGGGCCATATATCCCCAAGCCATTGCTCGCAAAATTCCCAAACACATTGCCAAATAGCGTGTCAACCGACACGAATGCTAAAACATACTAACCATTTTCCCTCCCAAACTTTCCACGAGGGGGTGCGCACTGAGGCACTGATTCACCAGCAGCCTTTGCAAGACACCACTCGGAAAAATATAAATCCTGTTCAGCGCCTCAAGGTGCGTCTCATCTCGGCCGCTGGGGACGTGTCATTGGCGTCCATCATGCTGGCATCGCTGTCCGGGCTCCGCAGCCTCCGAAGTTCCTGCGACCTCCGGCTGGCCTCGGGGGTGATGGCACTGGCACGGGGAAACACGAGGATGTGTGAAAGGTAAAGGACCGTTGGTTTTGCGTCTGTGTATATGTGTTTGTGTCCACGCATACATATATACACATACACACGGCATGCATGTATACATGCGTTGAAACCCTAAACGGGGTGGCACAGTAGAGCATACCTTTGGGAGGCCAAAGCAAGCCTAACCAACAATATGCCAACAAATTACGAGTACAAAAGTGATGACAAAAAAATGGTAGTTAAATCCATGGGCGTTAACGTTAGTGCAGTTTAACATGCTGACTCTTGGTCTGGACAAGTGCATATGTACTAAATATAGATAGGTAGATAGATAGATAGATAGATGCACGCTTGTCGTGACTCCAAGCTGCGCATGCCTTCCTGCTAGTAGATGCCAAGGTGTGACACAACATCGGGAGACATTAAAAGTAACATTTTACGACCGCGTCGTATTTTCCCGCTCCGTGCGGCCCCAGGAGCGCACTCGGCCGCGGGCAAAGCCAAAACGACTGGCTCGTTTGTGGCCTCCGAGGCCGCTGCCTGGGGCAAAGCAGGCAATAAGCATGGTTCCGGCTACAGCATGCTACAGCACGATTTGGGAAGCACTAACTGTCCATAGAAAAACAAACAACTATGATATGTCACAGTCACATGTCGTTTCTCTGGCGGTAACACGTGCCGATGTGTATGATGGCCTGGCTGTCCAAATGTTTTCCAATGTGCAATTTGCTTCAAAACAGTGTCCCTGTTGGTTGTGCTGCGGCTGTCGGCCACCCTAAGTCTGGCTTGGAGGGCATCTCTGCCGGGCAACGCTGCCTGTCGGGACGTAGGCTGAAACAAGCTGGGCTGACAGCAGGGCAATACAAGCAAGCGAGCGCCGCACCTTCTGTGGTTTGTGTCAGGCTGCGGGCCATGTGCTTCTTGGTATGGCCATTTTTTGAGGGCCATATCTTCGCGACCTGAATCGAGGAAGGCTTGCCATTGTCCGCCAGTTCTCTCGACAAAGGTGTGCGATGCCAAATTTGGCTGAAATACAGTTGAGTGTGCTTGTCGAGGGTAGGATGACGCCAGCCTTGCCCAGAGTTTTGCCACCTGTAAGTTAGCCAACTCTTCCCTGACAATTTTGCTGGTTAATCGACCCGGCTTGGCCGTCGCTCGAACCTTGGCTTTGCCTCGTGCTCCACTTTCCCTCGAACAGTCAGCCAGAGTGGGGCGGTTCCGAAACGAATGACTCTTTACATCATGCTAGAATGCCAGCATCTCGAGCTGAAGGAGCGTGCCAAGGAGTTGAGGACCCCTTCTTGCAATGCCTGGGTGTGGTCATGTCCGCATGTCCAATTGTGAGGTCTGCTCAAAAACTTCCAAATGCACACGCTTCAATATTACAAATTGGAGCTGCTAAGTGTCCATTGATTTTGTGAACTGCAACTGTGGCCCCGAGACTGCTTAAAAGTCTGTCAGCCAAGAGCATCAAGTGCACCAACAGTCTCCACAAACGTGTTTGAAGCAAAAAGGTTGGTCTCAGAACCTTGATCCATGCACGCTTTAATTCCCCTTTCCATTGGCTTTGCCAAACGTTTTGGAGGTCGACATGGGAAAATTCTGATCGAGGGCCACTTGCCCACAAGGCCGAACACCCGCTTGTCCTCTTTCTCGCTTGGGTGGTTCTGGTTCCCGTATCTGTATACTTGCTTCAAAGCGTGAGGGGCTGCAACTTCTTTGCTGTGACTGTCAAAACAGCGACAACTGCTGAGAGATCTGTTTCACCATCAGTGTTTGCGTCGGCCGCTTCACCCTCAACTGGACGTTGTTCTCCGTCTTGCGCGTCGCGAACTCTTCGTTGCGATCATCGTCATTGTCGTCCTCCTCGGAAGTGCCTCCAACTCTGTCTGATCTGATCTGCTGCAAAGACTTGTCTGGTATGGAGCGTGTTCTTACCGCTTCCCTTCGCGCAGAAGAAACCGTTGTGGAAGTTGATCTCGGGGAGCAGCTGGAGCGAGAAACGCTGTCTCTGCGATTGTGAAGGTACAAACAACGAAGCATTGCTCCGCTTCAGCACGGAGTCATACAGAGCTCCTGATTTGAGGGCGCATGTGCCCTCAAGTCCGCACGGGGGTGTGCGTGTCAGAGGGCCTGGTACACATCAGGAAGCTCAGACTGATGAAGCTACGAGAGGATGAGGAGCACTGGGCCCTGGGCCCGGAACCTCATTGCCAAGAAAGAGGCCGCGAGAGACGACTTGAAGGACCTGAAAAAGCAGGCAGAGTTGATCAAGGGCAAGGAGGAAGACAGAAGGCGATCAGGAAAGGAAGAAGTTCCAGAAGGAAACGAAAGAAGGACCAGAACAGAGAGCAGGTCGTCAAAGGACAGCCTTTTGAATCCATGCGTACTGCCGTGAATCGTTATGTGCAGAACGGTGATTGCAAAGCGCAGGCGTGAATCCAAGTGGCGTGTATATGACAGTGAGGCTATGGGCAACGGACCGCTAGAGACAAAGGCTGACGCCAAAGAAGGGCCGTTTGTTTTTGATATGTTTTGATGGTTCAACTTCAACCTCACCTTCGGGTCTATAGCAGATCGCAACTGCATGACCTTAAGTTTCCTGAACGCACCCTGCCTCCACAGTTGTCCGGTCAAGGTGGTCAACCGATCAAAACGTTGCAATTTATCATGAATTCTAGAACATGGGTCGCAACGACTTCGACCTCCAGCCCCTTCCGACTCCGGCCATGCGACGCGCCGGCCCAAAGTAGGATGCCTCCTGGGCGACGACCTCGGTGCCCTTGTGCAGCTCGTCAAAGGGACGGAGCTCTTCTGCCGCTACCGCCGCTACCACCTGTCGATCTCTCCACGCAAAGCTCCCGCAGCCGAGGAGCTGGCACAGCGTCCACTCCACCAGCACGTCGATGTAGTACCCCTCTCGCTCTCGCCTTTGGTTTGGCAGCTGCCTTCATCACCGCATGACCTCGGCCACGTGCACGACCCTTGGCTTGGGCCATGGCAACCATGGGATGAACTCTCATAGGAGGCATGGTGCTTAGCGGTGGGATCAACACCACTCACGTCCACGCTCCCGCTGTGTGCCCCTCTCTGCCCTGTCTTGATCGATCAACCCTATCTCCTCGCTGTCCACGTTCCTCACTGAACGACCGCTCGACGAGGTGGCGGGTGATCCAACCAGTCTCGCTGGAGCCAGGAAGTGGCAAGGTACTTGGGAAATGCTTGGCGACAGACCCTTCGGGGCCGGCCTCAAACAGTAGGCAGTTGGATTCTTCTCAAACGCTCGCAGCTTCGAAGCTTCACTTGTTGGGTCCTCCTCAGCTGCACGCGGTGTCGACGCCTATGTGGCCTCTTCCTCAACTTCCTCAGCAGCAGTGCCTCCAGCACCGTCACCAACTTCACTCTCTGGAGTCTTCTCCTTCTTACGCTTCTTATGCGCCTTCTTGGTCGGCTTGGCACTCCTGTGTTTCAGCCTCTTTCTCTTCTTCTCTCCAGGTACTTTCTTCTTTTCACCTTCGAGCCCTGTGTTGTGCTCGCAATGGGTCCCCTTCTCCTGCTCTGTGATCTGATCCTCCTCAAGGTCTTCACACGCCCAGGAGCTGCAGGCGTGCTCCCGACTGCCTCAACAGCCCTGAAGGCCTTGGAGCAATCAGCTGCACTGGAGGAGCAGAAATGCCCCCACTCCCAACTCTGCTGGGTTTGCTTCCCGGCACTCTCTCTCTCTCTCCAGGATGGGTGCTGCTAGCTCAGCCAGATCTTGAAGCACACCTGAAGCTGTCCTCAAGGTTGTGAGCACGGCCTTGAGATCTGAGGAGTACGCTGCCTTGGCCTTGGACAAGATCCTGGATCCGTCTGATCATCCGACACCGCAAGCAGGGACTGCCAACGTAAAGATGGCACATAGTGCAAATCATGCACCGCAAGCTGAAAGCCGAAACACTCTGGAACAAAATGGTTATGTGCATCTTAAATGCCGAGGGCGTTGGTTCATATATATATATATATTATATATACCATCATTAATTAAAAAATATCAGCGATGGCCTCCAACCTAATATCAATGGCCTACAATATATATATATATATATATTATATATATACATTATATATATATATATATTGCTTTTGGACACTGCTGGTCCGCATTTACCGAAAAGTCGTCCCCAACAAATCAAAACAAGGTTTCAGCATGTGCCACTAGCCTGGCCCAACCATGAGACGTTTTCACCTGCTCTAGATAGCTGCATTTGTGGCGCAAATGCATGGAGCAAAAACAAACAGCACTGGACGGCTTGACGATTGGGCACGTTCTTGCTTGAAAAAGGAACTGGGGCACGCTTTCCAGTGCGTTGGGTGTGGAAAGAATGTGGCAGAATTGTGTTGCGCATTGAGCACGTTCATGCGGAATCTTGCTGCAACACCCACAGCAAAAGAAATGGTTTTCATATGGCTATATAATAGCAATGGCCTCCAAACAAAGTGCAATGGCCTCCAACCTAATAGCGATGGCCTCCACCTAAGAGCGATGGCCTCAAAGGCGAAAAATGGGCTGTGCTCTGTGCTTGTTCTGACAACTTCTTCATTAAGAACGTATTGCTGTCACGATTCATGCCCCCGAGGAGACGGAGTGAACATGCAAACAGCAAGCATGTGTGACTACTATACCGGGAGACGATATACGACACTCATTGTCAACGCAGGACATCAAGTAAGTGCGCATATTGGGGTCAACGCCCAACATGTCCAGGGGCCATCACGGCGCTTGCTGCGGCTCGAGGGACACACTCGGCTGGGGGCAAAGCCAAAACGACTGGCTCACGTGGCTCGTCGGTGGCTTTCGAAGGCACCACACTTGGCACCGCTGCCTCGGGCAAAGCAGGCAAAGTTTATTCTGCCAGTAGCCATGGGCTACAGCAAGGGTTGGGGAGAACATGGGAGAACTCAAGCCTGCCCATTAAAAAAAAAACTATGATATATCATGTCATGCCACTTCCAAGCAAATGAATGATGATCTCAGTGAAAAAAAGACACATACAGCGATCAACACCACCGTGACTTGAAAAGAACAATGATATTGAACGTTGAGCAGCAACATTGCAGCAAACCAGTCGTACCATGTCGCAGGGATTGAAGATTATAAGCCTTCTACACCCACATGAAGCAAAGTTTGTGCCCTGCGACCGACGTGCCTTCTCGGTGAGAGGCGTTGACATTTGTCCAACACGGCCCAACAAGGCAGTTACAGACTGCTGCCATTCCACGTGCTGTTGCCTCAGCAAATCCATCGCTGCCAAGGAGTCCTTGGGCGGTATCAGGAGTCGGAGGAGTGCACGCTGCACGGAGCGAGGAAAGGATCTGTTCTGGGGTGGCCAACATCATTCAGATGTTCAGGGAAGGTTGAGACTATTCCGACCATTCCCCTCACACACTCTTGTTGTAAAATCCAGTTGACACAATGTGTTGGCGGAGCTCGTCAATATTGCAGGTGCATCGTGCACCCACGGCCAAATGATTATTGAATTTTTGAGCCTGTAATTAGGCAAACAGTCTCAGTATACATGAGTGCCGGATGAGAAGGAGAGCATCTTGCTGTCTTCGCTTGTTGGTAAACCGACACCGGACCCCGAGTCGTCCAGAAATCTTTCCAAATGTTCGGCCAAGTTGGTCGATTTACCAAGCCTCAATCCTGCGCAAACATGGGATTCCAAAATCCAAACTGCAGGTGGCAAGCCTGCTCCCGTCAGTCTTCTGAAAAACAAAGTTTGGATGGCACACTGCCCCCACAAACGAGGCGAAATGCGGTGAACATCTAGGGTGATCGGGTGATCAGCAAAAGCTTTGCGTCGTCTGACCGGGTCTTAAACATTTCAGAGCCTCATCCTTTGCACAAATGAATTCAATTCTGATGATGATGAACATTTGTCACTGTCGGAATGACTTCCAAAGATTTCGGGTTCTGGCAAGACTCTCGCTGTTGGTCCTGGACCTCTTGCAAAGCCAAAGTGAAGATATCGGACATGGCAGTCACAGTCTCGGCCACTCCGTCAGAATCGAGAAAACTCACAGGGCTGCGGAGAATTGACTAAAACTCTGTTCATGCAGTGGCCTTCAAATAGAGACCTCCTTCAAATAGAGACCTCCTATCCATTTGTAGTGAAGAGAGGATTTACTTTATTCGTGTTTGTCAATTTTTAAGTCGAGCAATTGCAGCTATACATGACCAAATATCACACAATTATTTGTGCAAAAATAATGTAAAAACACGCAAAGCACAAGCAAATGAAAATGCAAACGCAAAGCAACTTGCTTTGTTGTTGCATGTATTGAAATTGTTTTCATTTTTCATGGTACCATTTCTGCACTTATGAGAACTTTTACCCAGCAGCAATGTTCGCCGTACGCTCCTGACAAAAAAGTGAAATACGCGCGAGCAAACGCGAAACAATGCGAAAACAAAGCGGAAACACACACACACACGCGTGTGAAAAAGAGCTAACAAAGGGACAAACATGAAAAGCTACATGGCTACATGTGTTTTTTTGTTTGCTTTAGTGTTGCTTTTTGTTTGCTTTGTTTGTTCTTTAAATATTTATGTTTGCTCCTTGTTTTTATGGCTGTCGTGCCGGTCTCAAGTCTAGTTGAGATTGTCGACAATTTAGTGGGTGATAATGTCCACACATGAACACCCATGCCAAAAATATACACTTCAATAGGGCTAACAGTTTTGAAACATCAGATGCACACGACTACAGTACCATATAAATTATATGCAAATTTAAGTTAAAACCAACTTGTGTTTTTTTTCCACTTGTCTTGTTAAGTTAAGCATCCCTCAACAATCACACAGCATGTTTGTTTGTGCAGATGTCCAAAAACAATACATGTATATACATCAGTCAATCAAGAGGACCACAAACATATGTCCAATGTATAGTCTCTACATATAATATATATATTGCAAAACATATCGGCAAAAGCATGACATGCAATTGTGCAAATGATGTATAGTTATATATAGTTGTGGTATAGTATATAGTTGCAATCGTCGCTGCTGGGTGCCTGATGTTTTTTTGTTGTTTTTGTGGTATGAAGTGACGCGCTACCTTGGACTGGGTTGACATGGGGTGGGTGGGGGGGGGGGGGGGGGGGGGCTGGGAAAATAGCACACCTGTTGCGTAGCGTTCTTCGCGCCTTCTTATATTTTTTCGCGCGGGTCACACAGACGTTTATGTTCCACGCATGTACGTCTGCATTCAACTCGCACAAACACATGCGTTATGGGGCATGCGTTTCCTCACGACCTGCACACAGCTGAGGTATCCAGCACATGCTCACGCAACCTGCGTGCTGTGTTTGGCTCAGGAAAGACATGCCGCAGCCGCAACCGTTGGTTCTTTTTGTTTTGGCGCATTTCCTGGTTCTTTTGTTGCGGTTGGGGCTGGGGGTTTTGAGGACATAGACGAGTTACCACCGGTTCTTCGACCCTGGTTTCGTGTTCACCCGGGGTATCTGGACGACTTGACTTTGGTTAGGTCTGAGTTCGTACTGGGGATCCTCAGATTGGCTTGATCATCGCAGGACCGTTGGTGTTTGGAATTTCAGGGTTTGACGGACTACGCATAATGGTTGCTTGGGTCTGTGGCTATCTGTTTGGGAACGTCAGTTGGAGACTCGTGAACGTTTGTTACCTTTAGCTTCTCCTTCTGGGGGGCACAATGTCGATGCTGGAGATGCGTGTGTGGCAATGGGTGTTTCAACTTGAGAACTTGCGTGGAATACCGGCAGAGAACGTGAAAGCGCTCTCCAAAGTGTGGAACGTGCCAAAACACGGTGCGCATGTGAACGCCGCAGCCTGACTGAGGGTGTGACGACTGCAACCCCGAAACGACCAAGCGCCTGGTGGCGTCGTTCTCATATAGTTATATATATATATTTAAATTATATATATAGGGTTTTAAAAAAGAAACGACCAACTAAGGGGGATCCCCAAATCTTGGATGACATATTGATACATATTGACACACAATCTATCAACCATCAGTTATTGCCGAATATCAGCCTCTAAAGAGTACCCCCGTAGAGGCCCCATACCACAACATTATTGATACCAAAAAGGCTGAGGATGTTGCAGCCTCGTGCTTTCTTTCCGTTCTCAATCACAAAGTCACGTCAAACCGACTGCGCATTTGCTCTGCTGAAGCAGTCAGAATCAAAGGGCGAAAAAGGAAGGACAATTCTTTGGATGTGTCCCAAGTAGAGGAATTTCCCTTTCATGTCCCTTCAGCCAACTCCCAGCTCGTTTACCCCTGCAATCTGAAACCCAATTCCCTTCAATTTCCTTCAATGGTTCCTCCTGACTCCTACTCCCACGGTTGCAGCATCTCCCAAATAACGGTCCATGTGCCTGATTCCCTTGCATTTCCCTCTCACTATAAAGTCCCAACCCCAAATCAAGGACAATGATTCATCGGCGTTCACCAATTCCCAGCTCCTACCACAGTCTCGAATGAAGCAACATCTGTCTGATCCCATATCACCGCAATTTCCGGCCCCCGCCCCTGGCAGAATCCGGAATGCTCTCACTTTTGGGCAAGTCTCGACTCGACCCTACGTGATTACAACGACAGCAAACATGTTGCTGAGCCGTCGTGACAGCATGGGTGGTACAGCCTGACTCTTCGAGAACAGCTGGACCAACTCTCCAGTGCAAAAGCTCTAAATTGAAATGCCGAGGCTCCGATCGTGAAACTCAACAGCTTCTATATACCCTGGGCTTGAAGGCCACAAGCTCTCAAAGCGAGGGCCATGGGAATCAACATGTCTGAAAAACATCAAGTGGTCGTTGGGATATATATATATATAATTATATATATTATATGATGCCCCGTAGTACCCCCAGGGTAGTCTTCTTGAGTTTGCCTATGGCAGGCTCTGACCTTTGCCTCGTCCTCTTGTGCTACTTATGGCCACGTCTAGTGGCCAACCAGGCAGTATTACAGCCTCACAAACGAGCATTCTCGACTGTCAGACCAGGGGAATTCTCACCAGGATCACGACCTCTTTTCCTGGGCTTCAAAACAAAAACACCAGCAATCAAGACTGCAAGGGTGCTTGCAGGTTGCAGACTTAAAGTGCACATATGTCCTTGTTTACCGAACATAATTCTTTGCAAACAAGATGCCAACATTGCATGCAAGGCCGGTATGCTCAGGGGTATGCTTCTATACGCTGCTATCTTCCTTGCCTAGCCTAGTTGGCTGAAGGAACAACTGAAGTGTTCCCACCTGATAATGATAAATAAGCCCACTGATGTTTGCAGTGTTTTTCATCCAAAAAAGTAACTATATATATTGAATGTGTTTTTCTTCACAAGATCAGGCTTCAAAAGCTCCAGTTCATTGGAGATTTGAATCGTCTGCCTCCGAATAGGAATCACCAACTTCTGCAACTGCACTGCCCAACTAGGCATGTCCATGAGTAGCACCTCGGCAACAGTTTGAGGTGCGAACCTTCGAGAAGGAAAACATTGATGAACACCCATCATGAGTATACTATGTATATTGAAATATCGTTTCTAGGCCCTCGTTCATTCCGAATTCCGGACCATTGACACAGCGCATTATGCTCAATGATGGCAGTTCTCGATTTGAAACTCAATTACCCCCGCCTTTCAAGATTGATTTGGTCTGATTTCACTTCCTTCGGCTACCGCAGGAGTTGTGATTCATCGACTCATGTGCGTCTGGTCAAGCAGGACAGCAATGTGGGCTTCCAGGACTGCGCGACCGAACAGGAAAGGAACACCAAAGCACAGGAAGCCAATAGACTGATTGGAGATTGGAGGGAGAAAAGCCTTTGTTGGTGCCTTTTGACATCTTTTGACTAGGAATGTTGATCTGCCATTGACGCCAACACGGCCACTGTTGGAAGTTGGTTGTTGGAAGTTGGTCTTCAGTCTTCAGCTCAAGTCGATGATCCGGACGCGGTTGCTCCCAGCCCGCATAAAACACCTTGATGTGATTCCTGAGCCCAACGAAAAGCCTTGGATAGAATTAAACAAGAATTATATACAGACCTATTTGGTCAAGCGCATGATCACCATCCTATTTTACACATGTTTACACCAAATGCGCCTTACTGTAACTGGACTAAAAGACAACACCAAAAACGACGGTGAAGAAACACTCGTCGCCCGGAACCAACGAACGTCGCCTCCGAACCAACGAAACAACTCGGAGTTCAGGGCTGTTGGAAGGTGGTTCGAGGCACAGGAGAGGTTCAGAGCAGTCCATGTCGTCCGATCGGCGATTGGGCCCAAAAAGAAGACATAGAACACTTGTATTGGAGCAGGACGTCCAGTTCCAGCTAGTTGCATCCCAAACGCACAAGTGTCCTCTTCTCACAGCACTACGGAGGCCGTGTGTGAGAAGTAGGCACTCTAAACAATGAACTTGCTAAGTGAAAATCATCCAGCAACTCCAAGTTTCTCGAGAACCCGTTTTTTACCATCGTTGAAGGAACCGATACGTGGACACCCCGAGCTCTGCCGCTCCCTCCTCACGAGCCAGCCAACAAGGCCAACAATACATCTCACAGCAAATTGAATCAAATTCCAAATCCCCCAGGAACTCAAGACTCTCATCACCTGCCCACACAGCCGTTTCACCTCTTTGCAGTTCCCTTCCATATCTGAATTTGAGGCCGCCACCGAGAGCAAACCCTCCAAGAACTCAGCTAAGCCTCACTGATCCAAACGAATGGAAAAAAAGTTCCTCTGGCTGTTGCCCAAACATTGGCTCCTGGCATCGCTACTAGGGGCAAGGACGCTACTAGGGGCTCCTGGCCTTACTACTAGGAGCAAGGACGCTACTAGGAGCTCCAAGTTTCTTGGATCCAAAGAAGCTACTAGTAGGTCAACAAAGAGGTTTCAATTGATACAACAGATTGTCGTTCTTTCGCATTTGACACCCCACTGGTTATGTTTCAAACGGGCTGTGCTCAACACTATCTTTCTTTCACCCAAATCCGTCATCCTCCCATTGCAACTGATCACCTTTATCTTTGACCTCTGCACACACAAGCCCTGACAATCAATTATAAATCCTGTGGCTCATGCTTTCTCATGCCCGGGCTTGCACACCATGGACCCCTCAAATTTACCAGAACCCAAAACTAGTGTTAGTGCTCACTAAATTATTACAGCAAAAAAAACGCAATAAAAAGAACAATTGATGTTGTTCCATCTCACAAAGTTGTTCCATCTCACAAAGGGGCTCACTGGCAAAGCCCCCATTTGAGTGCATGTGGGTTGGTACTTAGACGCAACATGCGAGTCCATAGCCCCTGTATACTGACCCACCTGGAATCTCAATGGCAGTGTGTTGTAGTTTGAGATGCGGCATGTGGTGTTGTACAAGGCCCTTTACCGGGGACTCTAGGAGAGCAGCTGCCGTTTGGCTGCGGTGTGTCAGTTTATCTGTCCTCCCAGTCTTGATCTGTTTATATATACTTATGCTTATATATATATATATACTGAGCCTGCTGTGCAGGTAGCAGTGGGATAGGTCTGTCATGATTGAAGGGCAGACTGAAAAAGTGTGCGAAAAAACTGGAAACACAACAATTGGCTGCCAAGTCACAGTCGTTTTGATTCTAAACCTACCAGATTGATATTCTATGAACCACGTGTTTTGTGCCATGTGCTTGCAAACCACTCTATCTAACTTGGCCGTGACACTCAAGCTACCGCCACCGTCTGCGTCCAGAAGCTCGAACATGTCCTCCATGCTGTCGACCTGAAGAGCCACATCGCTGTCCGACCAGGTACGGCGCCTCCCAGTGGTGGATGGTGAGTATAGTACGGGTCTGAGACATTTGGCGTTTGAAAGACTGAAGCCAAGTACTCATACCAAAGGTGAAAGCCGTGGTTAACCCCACAAAAGTGGTGAGTGTGCGGGATTGTGTGTGTGTGCATATATGTTCTCAATACTTGAGGAGCTGTGCGTGATGATCGTTTCATGGGGATCTCTGGGACGTGAGACTTCACAGTGGTGGGGTTAAAGTGGAGTGACCACGTCCAGTTCAAAAGTTCCAAGAGACAGTGACCTTCTCATAGACCTTCTGGGGCAGCACATGCAAAGGCACATTAGCCACCTCCTCAAGTGTGATGTAGCCGCTCCCATCCTGGCAACGACGTGAGTCGCATGACTTGCGCTGTTCAGTAGCAAATTGTGTGAAGGTCCATGGAATTGAATTGAAGCTTTTTGGAGATGCAATTCACGCATCAAAGCCCATGTTCGAGGATGGCACCTTACTTACATCCTTTTGAAAGTTCCTCCATCAAACAGAACAGCAACAAGCTTTGAGTAATCCTTTGGCCGCACCTGGTCCAAGGCCGAGAAAATCTCCAGCAAGTCAGGCAGAGTGGCCTTGATCTGCTCTTTGGTCTTGATGCGTGCAAGCTCTGCTTCTTGAGAGGCATGCTCGAGCGCATGCTCCTCGGAAGATGGAAGCCCTCAATGGAATAAGCGTCAGCTCGCCCCCAAACACACGACCCCCCCAAAAAACACACACACATATATATATATATATAGCAGTAAAAAATAATGACTAGCCGCAAGCCAACATGGATGCTTCTTGTGCCACCACACAATTGAAACCTTTATATATTCTTTGGCAATCCTGAAACAGTTGCACGTCCAACTCAATCAGAAAATCAGCCCAAGAGTCCACCAAAACTGCAGTGACCAAGTTCATTAATGCAATTGACAAGAACATCAAGAGGGGAAGGAAATAAATGATCAGGAAGGGTTTCTGCATGACGAGCGGAAAGTAGATGTTGGCGATGCCATCCTTGGCTCCCAGCGATCCCAGCTGGGACAAAAGCATGGCGAACCGGTGAAAGGTGCTAACAACATGACTCAAAAACCTTTGAATTGCCATCCTGATTGCATGTATCATCCCTATTCTTGTCGAATATGCCTTTCCTGCTCTGAACATTCATATGAGGTCTGGTTGAACAGTTGTTTCATGTTGTTTCCGTGTCCAATTGTGTGTGATTGCTAACATGCTCGGCACGACTCCCACTGTACGGAGTTCTGGTGGGTGAAAGCTCAAACGAACCACCAACCTGACCAATCTGCCACATGGAGTTGAAGGAAAACAACGCACGCGATTCTCCCAACTGCGTGAACCGCCAAGCGGCAACCGCTACTTTCTCCCAACGATTCTTAAGGCATTTATATACAGTATGTTATGTTGTTAAAAATATCATAGCAACCCCTGAAAAAGATCCGGCAGTGTCGACGTTTGCAAAACCTCCACTCACTGCCCTCCACTCACTGCCCCCGAAGGCTAAAGGAATCAATATTGCTCCTCTTCAGTGGCTGGTGGGTGGGTGGGATCTCTTTATTCACCTTGCCATGCTGAACTCATCTGATTCGATCCTTAATTCAATCCTTGACCATGGGCCAATGGGCTTGACTTGAGAGCCTTTCATAAGCCATGGCCAATGGGCTTGACTTGAGAGCCTTTCATAAGCCGAAGCCTCGCATTTCATCTCAAAGACACAAGATCCAGTGGTTTTTCTCTTGAGCAATTTTCCTTTTGATCATAAGGCCCGAAACCTTGTTCATGTCAAAACCGAAAGGTTCAAGTTACCCGATGGACCAGGGAACCAAGGGGACGAGGGACCAATTAATGATATTAGTGTAAAAATATCTCATCAATTCTTGATGCCATCCCAATGACAATTGATAGATCTGTGGTGTTTGCATTGCACTAGACAGTCAACAGCCAATATGCCATTGCCTCCTGTGTGGAACCATCTCGCACAAGTCCCTCAGCAGTGATCCATTAGGGTGACACTTGGTGCTTTCGAGCCGAATACCATCGCTGAGCCACAACACTCACAACTGCATCACATTATTACTATATATAACATGTATATATATATATGTCTGGGTTACATACAGCATATGCACCTAGTTGCACATACAGTACCAGCATTTGCCCACATTGAGCATTTTCGCCATCCAATCATGCTGCCGTGAATGGCACATGTCAAAACCACGAGTTGGGAGCCTTTGGTTTCAACACTTCGGTCCTAGGATCCAGAGTGACAAACTGCAACAAGGTCAGCGTTGCTTTGGGCAAACTGCTGAAGTTCCTCCTCACGATACCTGCAGTCTCTGCATTGTCTCTGAGATCCGGGTCATTTGCAATGACCTCCGCAGCGATACAACCTCAGCATCACTTCATACAGGAATGTGTGTACCTAAATTTAAGTAGAGGCGACACCAACCCGGCTTACGGTCTTTGACTCACACCTGAGTACAGCCATCTGGTTGTCCAAAGAAACACACATTAGTAAACAGTAGACGTAAAATATGTTTGATCATGCTTGGGGGACATCACTATCGTCACTTTGGACCGCAAAGCGGCAACTTGCAGTTGTAACTCATTGAGCCACATTTATGTTTTTGCTCTTGTAGTTTATGGTGCATGACCACTCGCCGTGCCATACCCAGAAACAGGCTGCCCACTATAAGTACAGGTGTTTTACAACATCCTGTCGAATCCATCCCCACAACTTGGAAGTGTGAACGACTACAGGGCGACAAACCCTTGTCCACCTCCTCAGCTTTGCAACAACAAGCCATTGCCAAAGAAAGTCCCACAAACAGACAAACATGGCAGGTGTCTCTGAATCAACTGTCGATGGAAGAATTTGCACCCTCGACAGTAGGTGGACCTCGCATGACCCCACGATTGATGAAATGCTCTGGTGCCTGTGTACCCCCACGCGATGTTGCTTGCTTGGTTGTTTGTCTCTTTTGGGTGCCTGGCCGCCGAAGATGTAAAGACCCAAGAAGATCAAAACGGTCCTTGGCCATCCGTTGGATGAGGTGGCGGTACTCATGGAGTCCTAGTGTTGGTGCGACATGCAAGTGCGAAAAGACAAAACTTCAGAACCCAGAAACCCTCGTGAAAACTTACTTCTGAAAGAGTTGAGATCTAGGAATAGATTGATGGAACCTATGGATGTTTGGAGAAGTCCTCCCCAAACAACACATTTAGGGCAACAAGGCTATTTTGGGTGAAAGCGACTAGGACAACACTTTGCTTGTCAAAGTTCACGCGTCTTGCCACCCACTGAAGAGACTTAGTGATTCGGCACTCAATTTCTCTGCAACTGTGCATGGACGAATCCTGGACTAAATCTACAATATATATATATATGTGTGTGTGACATATGCAATTCCATAGGATATGAGTGGATGATAGTGGATGTATGATTTACTCTCGGGGAAAACATCGTACCCCCCCAAAAAAAAACGAAAAAAGTTATGTTAGTGGCCCGGGGCAAAAGCATGCTGGAAGCGGTCTATGTTAAGGGCACCTTGCTTTTTTGAAGGCTACAGGAAACGGTGTATGTTAGCTGCAAATTGGACCCCTACGGTGGTCCATGTTAATTGCACAATCAATGCGCTGTGCCAAACAAAATGTTTGCTGTCTCTTGGATCCAGCTATGCACAATGCACAGCAGCAAGTTGAGTGTTGAAAAAAAAGGTACAGTACAGTCAGTACTTAAATGAATCCTTCAGAATGAATCATTCATTGATGCCGGTATTGCATGGTCTATGCTGGCATTCTGCTTCGGGGTTTAGTTCCAAAGCCATGGACCCACCTGACGCCATGCATTTCTCATCATTGGCATGCAAACCATCAGTCAGGGAATAAAAAAGGGCCGACTGGAATTGTCCATGTCTCTGTTAATTTTGGCACTGGGCATGGTTCATGTTAATGGTATTTGAGGCTCTCACACTCCAGGATTTTGCCATGTTAATTTTCCACCCCCTAACATAGACCTATCTTTGACGTTCCATGTTAGTTGCCGTCCTTTTGTCTCAGACAATGACCAGCCAGAAAGTGGCCGTGTGTTTCCCCAGGAATTCACCGGTTACCGTGTTCCATGTCAAGTGTCCCTCAAAACAGAAATCTGTTCTATGATATTTTCCTGGGGTGTATAGCCTAGGGGCTACTGGCCTTACTACTAGGAGCACGAAGCTACTAGGAGCCTCTGGCATCGCTACTAGGAACAAGGACGCTACTAGGGTATATGGATTCTTCCCATTTGGATCTTGCCATTCTTCCCCATGCTGCGGCTGCGCCTGGTTCTGCCCAAGGCACGTTGAGGCCATGGTGTCCCACACGGAGAGCAGCCCGGACACGAGGCGCCAAACCACCTCACCGGTGCTCCGGAGTGAGGTGCTGAGTGCAGTGAAGCTATAGCGACAAGGGAAAGGGTCCGCCTTGTGTGGGTCAGATCAACTTATTTTTCATGTTTTGTATATGTTTTCTGTTGAAAGATGTTGATTCCATATGATTCCATATTATTCCATAGATTGATCCGACTAACATATGTTAACATATGTGTACTGGTGGTCAACATTGGTGAACCCTTCCCACCAAGCCCAACGGACTTTCGTGGCACAAACCGAGTGGCAATGGAAGTTCATCAGGGAACCGAGTTCATCCCAACACCCAAACACTCCAATGTGGAATCTGTTTGTTGACCCTGACGAGATTGCGTCGATTGCGTCACATGGCGTAGTCCTCACAGTGGCCCCCCCACCTTGAAGCGCTTCACCGTCCGAAGGATCCGGGCCAAGCGAAGCAAGCGAAGGCCTCCGGGCCCAAGCGAAACACCGGATGCTAGATGAGTTCGGTCATCCGGGACGCATCCGGGAGACCGGCTCTGAAAACGCCCCAATGAAGAATTCCACAAATTACATGAATCTGATCAAATCTGTGATCTTTGGGGAGGAGCTGGGGGAACTACACAATGACATCACAGGTTTGAAAGGATTACCCCGACTTTTTCCAAAAAAAAACAAGGCATACAGTACACAACTGCATGATTTGTCTTAAGCTCCAAACTCCAGGAGATTTCAAACAACAAAGGTAACGAACATGCCGAGTGTTCTGTTGCTTCTGCGGAAATTGTATCCTTGCAATCTCCTGGGTGTGATCATGACTCGTCCTGACACCTCCTCCCCAAGTCTCAGGCCGTTTCCCCGCCTCTGACGATCAAAAGCTGCATCCAGCCTTCCTGGGAGCTGGCCTCTGACTCCACCAAGGGCACAACCACCAAGGCCACCAAACCGACGCAAACCAAAAACACGTCCAGCCTCAGAGCCGTAGCCACCCGCACGTGGCCCCTTCTTCAGGTTGTCTCCATATTCACAACTGCTCTTGGGTCACCTGTTTCCAGCTGGTTGGTTTCCACCCAGCTGAACAATACGAATGATTAGGATCGATCCTAAGTAAAGGTGGCAGTAAAAACATCTCAAACTACCAGGCGGTCTGCTCATGTACTGTCATGTTGTACAATCCCGTTTCCTCACATGAATAGGAGTATAGTATACAATAAGAATAAATATACATTGCTTAAACGCCCACAAAGGCATCTGTATTCGTTTGCAAAGATGTCATTCTCATGAAAGTAATTAAACGCTTCTCACGGCTGCACTGGTTGTTGCTCAGCTGGGGCACAACTGTCACACTAGCCCTCCCAAACAAAACATTGACATGTTCCTCAGGACCCTCTTTGTCCGACCCAGCGCAAGGCCGCTTCTGTTTGGCTGTTTGGCCAAGCGTGACAGTGGCAGTTCATACAAGACGTGTTCGTCAAAAGTGAACCCCATAGAAAAGGCTAGCTGAAAACCCGCCCAACCATGGCCAAATTCAACAAGTATGAACACAAAGCATGCCAAGGCATGCCAACATATGAACACAAAGCATGCTGTGCAGTGGCCAAGGCACCAAAACCAGGAATTTTGGAAGGCCTCTCGTCCACCTGCAGTGAGTCGGATGAGTAGCTCCACCGTGTAGATCCCCAAGAAGATCCTCTCGACGTCGGCAGCCCACCAGGTGTCCATGCCTAACAAATCCATCTCAGCCTCCGAAACGTGGGTCGGGTCGGCAGACGGTCCGACCGTGCCGGTCCAAACACAAAGACACCGCACGTGTAGACACTGTCCCTCCATCAAAAACCAACTATATATAGGTCGAAATGCTTTATCAGTCGCTGTCATAGGCACTGGACATTGCATAACCACAGCACACATCTTTTGAATTTGGTTGCGCATTTCATTGGGGTGACCTGGCTAGAATTGAGAGCTTGTGTTAGTGCTACAATGTTCCCAGCGTCTGGGTTTCTCTCTATTCTCAATTCTCAAAATGCAATATCGAAAAAGCCCCCAAAAGAGCCAACAGAAACACTTCCCACAAGAAACAAACGCCAACAACCAACGAACGAACACGCACACAAACGCAACACAAAGAAACAACGCAAGAGTGGAAGGTTGGTTGGATGGCCTCTACACCAATGAGCGCAATGTTCATCAGGATCAAAACTGCAGTGACGTATTCAAAGGCTGTGGAGTCGACCACCTGGGGAGGTGAGAGGTGATCTTTCTCCAGCTTCCTAATGAAAAGCAGAAGTATCTTTCACTTGAAAAACCTGGTGGCTAGAATGATGACCTTTGAGTGAAACAGCCAAACCTTTGCAGTTGCATGGACATTGGCTGCATGTTGCAACATGAGGGAGCTCTCGGGCATGAGATACTACATGTACAGCCTTGCAAGGTGGTTTCTTTCAACCGCAAAAGGCTTTTTAGTCTAAGTCAGTAGAAGTCATCTAAAGCGGAACAAAAAACCTCTGCTCGCCAACAAAATGGGCTACATGCCATAGCATCAAGCATCCAAACGACAAAGCGTCACAAGTGACATGTTCTGACAGTCAACACTAGAGTCAACACTGTCAAACTGCCGGCAGGGCCAAACAACTTGCTGGGGACCATGTAAGACAAGTCATACAATTAATATAGTATAGTTTCTTGAACGCCCCTCACGATTTGCTGGTCTTGCAGTGTGCAAGCATTTTGGCAGTGTTGACTGTAAAGCGCAACATGCCTTGCTATGTGGCATTCTTGAAGGGTTTCTGAAGCTTTTGTTGCCCGGCCAAAAGTTGGGTAGTGCGTGTCGTTCCGGGGAGGCAATGTGAGGCTTACTGAGCCAAATGATTTTGCTTTGATGGTGTGCCGGTGACAAACGAGGCTGCAAGCCATTGTGCTAAGTAGTGAAATTGGTGGAATAATTCCTGCACCACTTTGATACATATAAGTGTTACAAACTCGTCCACACCGGACAAACCAGCAGCCCCTCACCCGCATTCAATGTTGGTGAGGCATGCTAGCAAGTGGTGCAGGATATTTGTCAGTTGGATCTTTGGTTTGTGTTGATACTGGGTGCAACATGATGCAACAATGTTAATAACAAAGGGCCAAATGAGTGCAAGGGTTTGAGGTATCATCATCACAAAAGCGGTGCAGGAATTCTGCCACCAACAGCACAGCAGAAGTCCCACAGTATTCCCAACGAGTCTATGAACCTTTGAAGTAGATTGTATGTATTTTTATGTATTTGTTATCCTTCCCAGTGTTCAATTATAGACCCTGCATCACACATTACGAACCCAAATCCAGGGTGTTATGAGCCTAATGCCGGTCATGCATTAACCAAGCAACAAGAATTCTCAACAAATGTGGCGACCAATCTTCTGAAGGACTTGTCTATCGCCAAAAAGATGTGTGGGCGAGTCTATGTGACCCCTCCAAGTTCACACACTTCCAGTACACACTTCTCGCTTCACACCAGTGAGCGCCATCCCGTCCCAAGACCGTATTGTAGAACCTCGTGGTAGCTAAGATTATATAAGGGTATATTTTTGTTTTTATCAATTGATTGGCTTTCTGTCAAATGAGTCATATTACTTATTCTAGGACTCTAGGATCTCCAATTGTTGAGGGGGGAGAGGGGGGTTTGATTAATCAAGAGTCAACATTAGACTAGACCATCAGCCCTTCGCTGTCGAGAAGCCGTCTTTAAGGTTTCGCGTCTCTCCTGCCAGACCGTCAACCTGATCCTGGCGCGTCAACGGTGGGCCAAAGCATGCCTCTTGATCCTCTTGATCCTCTTGAGAGGACCCGACACGCGCAACAAGAACAAAGGCCAGGCCTCAGGTCAAACAATTGGTGCAAAACAACTCTTGCGAACCCTAGCCGTCCCGAAACAGCGGGCCGAAACAGCGGCCGGGCCCTGGCGGCCCTGAGGTCCGTCTACCTCCCAAAAGGGTTGTTCATTCCAGGATCATGCACCAGCCAGCTCAGTCTCATTTCCAAGAAGTAAGAGATTGGAAGCAGGGCTGTCCTGAGGGCGCAGCCCTTGAAAGACAATGCTATCTACACAAACATAGGAGAGTCATGGACAGTCATTGACCTCCCTTCACGAGGGATGCCTAGGCATATTCTGAAGATTCTGAAGCAGCCACCTCCAACTCCCACAAACACACAGAACGCTCATACAAACACACACACACACACACAAAACAAAAGAAGGAAACACCCCCCAACCCTCTCCCTTTCTGGGTGGGATTCCTCAAATCGCCTGAAACCGCCCTCGAAAACCAAGCGTTGTGAACCTCTTTTTGCTGTGGTCGGTCAGGACCTCTTCCAAGAGCTTGGGCAAGCGGCCGTCAGCCCCGACGGTTTGCCTCCGGATCGACCCACAGGGCCAGGATGGCTTGGAATCCGCTTCCTAAGCGGATTTGGAGGTGAATTCCAGGGGACACAAACATGCGTCACAGCCGTATCACTTAGAACCACTACTTCTTCTGCCATCCCTTCTGCGCCCGATCTCATCGGATTCGCTCGGAGTCTCTCGAACTGGTCAGCCGGCCTCAAGGTTTGTCTCATCTGGCTGACTCTGGCCGCTTCAGAGGTGTCGTTGGGGTCCAGCACCGTGGCTTCGCTTTCGGAGCTCCGGAGTCTCTGGAGCTCCGCTGGGGTCTGGACCTTCAAATGTTGGGTCGAAGCAGTGGTTGGCACCCGAAACGGGAGGTCGGCACATTTGCTCAGGCCATCTCAGGCCGAAACACATATTTAGACTTTAGACCTAAAACAGTAAAGCCAAACAAGCAATAGCTAGCCCAGTTTGTTGCACCCTGTCCCCACCGTAGGTGAAAGTGCTTTAGACATGTTATATATAAGACCAGGGCCGTTCACGTTGGTGTTGCTTTTCAACTTTGGATGGTAGAAAATGCATATACTCTGAGGGTACACCTTGGTAGTTTCAGGCCTTTCATGCGCAGCAGGGTGAAAAAGTACATGAAACATACAACTGGATTTGAAGACATGCAGTGCGCGTGCCTCTTTCCAATCAGTTGTTTCACATCAGACTCTAAAGAATCATGGTTGCTCCAAATACTTGCTTTGCAGGACAAGTATTTTGCTTGTCTAAACCCAGCAGCTACTGCTTCATGTTTATCTATTGTTGTGGCCCAGGAGGAGGCACTCTTGGACAAATGACTCTTCTCAAAGAAGTTTGTCGCAATCACAGATGCAGTGCCAACATGAGACAAGCCACACTAAGTCACATGTAGAAGGGGCAAAGAAATGTTGTAAGGTTGTGGTTCCATTCTCTTATGCCCATGGCCACCAAAGCCGCGGCTAAGTTTACAAAGAACAAGGTGACGCAAATCCGAGCAGCTCTTGTGCAGAAACAAAGCCCCCAAAAGGAAATTGCCAACAGCACACCCGGCGACATGTTAGCTTCTTGTCCCAGGGTGGCCTATCTTGCCAGGCTGTGAGAAGAGTCTTGGCCATTGCAGGCTCAATCGAACAAGGATTTGAGTTTGGCAGTGCTAGCTGCGCAGCGGCTGTTTGCCGAAGTCTTCAGCATTTGCCACGGACACTCTTGGTGTAACATATGGGTGACTTGCTGATGTATGACGAAGTCGCCGTGGTCGCCTGCTCTGTGCAGCTTTTTCTCGTGAGTTCCTGCGGTCGAGCGTGATGCGGACGTCAGGGTCCAACATGTTCCATCATCTTCAACGGTGCTCACCATCAAGCCAAGGCCCGCGCGACTTGCATGGACTCCACGGGCGAGGTTTGTCCAGTCGATGGAAGCTCCGGAAACAGCCAGATTCTCGGGTTTGTTCTGAGCCGGTGGTAGGGGCTCAAACAAGAGGCATTCCCCGAAACTCTTCAGTAAAGGTCAACTCTTTTGAGGGTTTGTCTCACAAGTTTATGGAAACCCATGGCTGGCAGGCCGTGTTTATTTGGCAAATGAAAGATTTTGCTTGCGCGACGGAAAAAATTGACCGTCAAGTCCTGGTTTGGATCAATCTAGATGAAACTTTTGCTTGCTCTCTAGAATGTCTGAGAGGCTGCGTGCTTGTCACCAGTTCTGGCAAACTCACCCAAAGGATCCGCATCTTTTTTGGTGCGGAAGGACAGGCGAAATCGCTCACACATCCTAGTCATCCGGCGATTGAAGCAATGTTGCCACACTTTGTCTGCGAGACCCGGATGCCAAAGTCTTGCCCTCAAAGCCCAAGAGCGGGGGACAGCTGTGGGAAGTCCCCGTCAGACTTGCTGGCCGATTGGATCAGAGTTTTCTTGGCTTTGAGAAAGGCTCTCCCGGTGCCGGACTGCCGAAACCAATAACCGTTACTAAAAAAATAGATATATACACATACAGTATATTCTGTTGGCGGTAGCGATGGGTTCCAACTTAATAGCAATGGACTCCAACCTAATATATAGTGATGGCCTCCGGTCCGCATTTACCGAAAAAACGCCCCCAACAAATCCAAAAAGGTTTCAGCATGTTTCAGCGTGTGCCACTAGCCTGGCCCAACCATGAGACGTTTTCACCTGCTCTAGACATAAGCTGCATTTGTGGCCCAAATGCATGGAGCAAAAACAAACAGCACTGGACGGCTTGACGATTGGGCACGTTCTTGTTTGAAAAAGGAGCTGAGGTACGCTTTCCAGAGCGTTGGATGTGGAAAAAATGTGGCAGAATTGTGCTGCGCATTGAGCACGTTCATGCAGAATCTTGCTGCAACACCCACAGCAAAAGGAAATGGTGTTCATATGGCTATATAATAGCAATGGCCTCCAAACAAAGAGCGATGGCCTCCAACCTAATAGCGATGGCCTCCACCTAATAGCGATGGCCTCAAAGGCGAAAGATGGGCTGTGCTCTGTGCTTGTTCTGACAACTTCATTTAAAAAAAAAAAGTGTTGCTGTCACGATTATGTCCTCGAGGAGACGGAGCGAACATGCAAACAGCAAGTGTGACACTCTATAGTGCTGTATATTATGCATATACTGAAAGATATCCGACAGTCATTGTGACCCAAACCTGCTTCGCAGGACTTCAAACAAGTGTGCATATTGGGGAAACCGCACAACATTTGTCTCCCACTCGGGCGGCGCTCGCTGCAGCTCGAGGGACACACTCGGCCGGGGGCAAAGCCAAAACGACTGGCTCGCGTGGCTCGTCAGTGGCTTTCGAAGGCACCACACTTGGCACCGCTGCCTGGGGCAAAGCAGGCAAGGTTTATAGGAACCAAGGCTGCAAATAGCCATGGCTCCGGCTACAGCAAGGGTTGGGGAGAACATGGGAGAACTCAAGCCCATAGAAAACAAACTAAGATATGTCATGCCATGCTACTTCCAAGTAAATAAATGATGATCTCAGTGAAAAAACATACAGCGATCAACAGCACCGTGACTTGAAAAGAACAGTGGTATTGAACATTGAACAGCAACATTGCAGCAAAGCAGTGTACCATGTCGCAGGGTTCGAAGATATATACGAAAATTAAGCCTTCTACACCAACATGAAGCAAAGTCAGAATTGTGCCCTGCGACCGACGCGCCTTCTCGGTGAGAGGCGTTGAGATTTGTCCAACACGGCTCAACAGGGCAGTTACAGACTGCTGCCACTCCACATGCTGTTGCCTCAGCAAATCCATCGCTGCCAAGGAGTCCTTGGGCAGGATCAGGAAGGAGCTGGACAAATACAATGGTTTCAGAGTAGATTGCACAATCCCCAAAAGGTTGTTCATATGGATCCCCGTATAAAGGACCTCTTTGAGCTTTGGGTTTGTGCCACATCTGCTCTGAAACGGTTTTTTCGTCGTGTGGACGCCCATCCACCCCGTAGGCACACTCCGCTCTCAGTCTCAGGTCCGGAAAAGAGAGCATCTGGCGCTCTCGTTGCCGGACCTGGCTGCACCCTGGCCTTCCAGCCAAACCAACCCAGAAAGATCAAAGAATGGCCTACGAGGAGGAGTTGGGGTAGAAGGATCCCACAGCCTCTGGGATCCTTGAGCTGCATTTTTCCTCCAGGGTAGTGAATATCTGGAGGTTTTTGCACCATCCGACCAAGTCAAAAGCTTTTGACACTTTACATGATGCTATTTCAGAACCTCATTCTATTTGCATGGCATGACTCCTGATGATTGGGGGCCCCAAGAAGTCTTTGTCCGTCACCGCCGAGGATTTCCAATGATTCTGAGGATTTCCCGGCAAGAGTCTCGCTGCTGGTTCTGGACCTCTTGCAAAGCCAAAGAGAAGACATCGCACATGGCCGATCACTGCCGGTCACTCGGCAAGTCAGGTGCTGGACGTTGCCCACACGGCTGCGGACCGATGCAGCAAGTCAAAACTCCGGCAATGTGGTACAGTCGTCCCCACATAGAGATAGGACATCCGATCACAGGGGGCCTTTCTCTCCGGGGGTGTAAAGGAATGCATACTTGAGCAAACTTTCTATTCTTTTTTGGACCGTCACATTGTTTGAAGATGATTGAAACAAGACATTGGGCGGAAAAGGACAAAACCGTTTCCAAACCAGTGCGTTCTTCCAAACTATCCTGCATCAGCTATCATCAGCTGGTGCAACAACTCCTACTCCCCCCTCTCACTTTTCAGGCAGTTCAACATGTCAAGGTCTTGACTCTACGACTCTACAAAATGTAAAATGACCTCAGCCGAAGAGCTCCTCAAAACACCTGAACAAATGTAGACGACTTAAAATTGTCGAACCGGGACAACGATGGTGCAGCCTGACTCTTTGAGATCAGGTTGGGCCACACTCTCCCGAAAAAGAGTCTGCAAAACCTTCTGAAAATGGTTAGTGAGGAGAGATCTAGAAATGTGGAGGCTCCAAACATGAAACTCGACAACCACTCCTGACAGCAGAAACAACAGCAACTTCAACTTCTACATAGCCCACTCGAGCCACCAACTCCAAAAACGACCGACCAGGGAAAAACAAATGTCTACAAACAATCTACACATGGTTGTTGGGAAATCTTGTTATGTCATATGTGTCTTCTTCTTGAGCTGCTTTTGCCTCTTTGCTCACTGGGCTGAATCTGACTTTTGCCCCGGACTCTCCTCTCTGATTTAGTACACTGTTACAAAAGGCTGTGTCCGCTGGCCCGCCCGGGCAGGGCATCACACACGAGCATTCTCAACCATCAAGTTCTCACTCCTCCCAGCCGGATCACGACTTCTTTTCCTGGGCAAATCACAAGCACCAACATACAAGAATCTCCGGTTGCCCTAAAGAGCAAGCTCAAGCAACACAATCGAAACGTTATTTGGGAATCAGCCAAACATAAACCAATGACAACACAAAAAGGTCAAGTCAAATCTAGCATACCTAGGCCAAGTGATTTTCCAAGAAGTGTTGTTTCCAATTTTGTGGGTTCTGCTGTCGAATGATCATCACTTCATGAGACCCACATTTGAACCAAAGCAACTCGGGACGCTCCAAGCGCACTGCGCAAATGACTTAGCATTAGTTTCCCTACCCAAACTTCCCAAACAGCGTTAGCCCAAAGTTCGCCCACGGCAAGCTACCTGGCTACCGGTAGTTCTGCATCGGACCATCAGTGACCGGTTCCCAGATCTACCAGTTCCATTCAGCTCATGAACAGATTCTACAACTGACAAGGGTATGCTTCGATGTCTTGTAATCCTGATACGCCTACTTAGTTGCAAGCGACCGTGAAAGGAAGAACTCCTGAAAACCAGAGAGAATACCTCCATCCAAAGTAGCTCTTGACCATTATTTTTGTGGGAGATTTGATTCTTCAGTTCGCGTACCAGGCTTCAATAGCTCCAGTTCATTGGAGATCTGAATCGTCTGCCTCCGAATAGGAATCACCAACTTCTGCAACTGCACTGCCCAACTAGGCATGTCCATGAGTAGCACCTCGGCAACAATTTGAAGTGCAAACCTTTGAGAAGGGACGAAAGTCAATCATTTTGAGCAGACTGCGTATGCATATGCACAGAGATGTAAGGATATACAGGAATATACAGTACATATAATTACATATTATATATATATAATTCAATAACTCCCTCTCCCTCTCTCTCGCTCTCTTTCATGCCCCAGAAGCTGCGCATTGACACACCCACACTGGTAGACGCAGCACATCATGGAAGTTCTGTAAGTTCTGTCTTTGTTTCCCGATGTTATATATACATATACATTCACACTACAATGGCAGCTTTTGATCTCTAGCTCAACCAGCTGGTCTTCCGCTCCAGTCGATGATCGGGACAAAGTCCCCCTTTCACAGTTGCTCTCAATGTGTCATAGATTTGATTCCTAAGCTCACCACCTTCACCACATATTCAGTTGAACTGAACTCAAGCACATGATCCTTCTATCTGCACCATGCTGCGCCATGCACCAACCAATGCTCCAACAGGTCACAACGAGAAGGGAAGACCTCCAACTTTAGGTCACAAAAAGCGTTCTGGGAGAGGCCAGACCCTCGATGTTTGCAGGTTGCTCTGTTGACCAAGTGGAAACAAATACTCGGCCACTTCGTCTCAAAGCTCACGTCAGCCAGTCTACCTTTTGCACCACCTTCCCTAAAGACTTGTATTGGGGCAGGATGTCTCAGTTCCAGCTACATTGAGTCACAACTGTTGCTCCTCTTTGGCTGTGACCGAATTTCAGCGGAAGTCACTGGCCTCTCCTGTTCCCAGAGCAGTCTGACGAAATTGTCAAAGGGAAACCCATGAATGACATGGAAGCCATGTGAGAGGCAACCACTCATGGCCAAAAGAATATGGCTCTCCAAATCCAAACTCCAAGTTCCTCTGTCAAGACATTACGGACCACTCCACCCCTTCACCAACATTGAACATAAAATGGTCCACGGCACCAGGAGCAAACCGTCCAAGAACTCTGCAAGACTCAAACCTGGCAAGACCAGTTGACATCTTTCATGTTTGAAGCCAACGAGTGTCTTCGTTTGGGGCCCCTGTTTCATGATCTTCCTTCAGTAACCTGGACCAATATCCCGGGCCCAAACCCAATGGATTCCTCGTTATACTGTAACCTTATCAGTGTGGTTCACTGGAATTGTGTCAAACAAACTCGAGAAACGGCCACTCTTGGTGTGGTCCCACTGGCTAGGCTTTCAGTACCTAGCCGTGTGGGTGCCCTGATGTCAGCCCCAAAGTCAACGGGGTTCAATCATGAATAATGTGTACTTGTTGAGTACTGATACTAGCGATGGCCTCCAAAACATGTAGAACCATTATTAATATTAATAACAACCCCATTTGGATTGAACAACCTCTTGCACACCGTGGTCTGCCTGGGCATTCATCAAAGGTGGCAACCCTAGAATTCAAACCATTTTGCCACTTCAACTTTCACCCGCAACATCCTGCTACGGGGCTCCGGCTCCAATCAAGGTGAGTCATCTTTTGGCGAAAGTGACACTCGTCAAGTTCCCCAGTTGACCTGCCCCCCTTTGTCTTAACTCGGCTGGTTCCCGCTGCCATGAACGCCCTTCAGTGATCCGACCAAATCTGCAAGCCGAAACTACCAGCTCAGTAGCAAGCTGTGAATGGCCAGCCCCAAGATTATATAGTCCTACGATGTCCTTACGTACAGTGTTAGCAATCAAAAGTGGAAACCACCCCAAGTTGGGGTGAACAAACCCCTTTTGCATCTATAGTCTTTGGAGGCTTCACATATTGAATATTTGTTTCAAACCAGGGGTTTTGGATGATTTAGGGTGGTGACCCTTTCTCGTCTGCGTGCAGAAATTTGGATCCATCCGAGAGTCAGAGAGTGTGTGTGTGTGTGTGTTTCGTCCATGATACCTCCCTCTTTTGGGACTGGTCCGACCCTTCTTCGAGAGCTTCCGACTTTTGTTCGGCCCCTAGCTTCAGAATATCTGAAAATGAACGGAATTATGCTTTCTGTATTGTCATAAGCACTCACCCTTCTCTACTCTCCGCTCACCAAGCAAGCGGCTGCCACCACCATCCACATCCAAGAGCTCGAACATATCCTCCATGCTGTCAACCTTCGTTTCAGCACTATTGTCATGTGGAGCGTGCTGTCCAATGATTTCTGCACTCCGCGGACCACGTGCTGATTTAAAAAACACACGGAATCACACCATACAGCAAGCTACGAGTTGGCACCCTGCACTGAACCATGGCAGGAAGTCCATTGAAGCGAACCAATTAGAAAGACCAGATTGCATTGCTTTAATGCTGTCTCCCCCAACTTGCTAACTTGCTGCCGAAAGCAACTGTAACTTTCTCCAGGACTGTCTTCGGGAGCACATGGAGAGATACATTGGCCACTTCCTCTCGTGTGATGTAGCCGCTGTCATCCTGACATCTTGCCATTTCAAAGCAGTGTCAGTTGGGTTGCGCCCACAAAACTATAATATATTGTTTCCCGCCACCAGATCAGGCAAAATGGTGGAACCAGGTATCTTTGGAATCGGTGGAATATGGTGGAACTACAGTGTCTTCACAAATCAGTGCGAACTAAGACTAGCGTATTTCGTCTCGGAATCGAATCTCAAATCTCGACCCAATTGGATTCGGGAAGGCAGTCGATCAAACGACCCTTTGCTCGATCGAGCTGATCCCGTTTGGAATGCTGGAGAGCTCTCCCCAACCCAGGTATGCATTTTCAGTTGAATGGGTCAGTGAGCAACCTAGTCCACAAGAATTGGTGAGTCGAGCCTCTTTCGAACTCATGTTGCAAGGGATCTGACGCCAATACATACAGGCCCCCCACCTGATCCAAGGCTGAGAAAATCCCCACCTTATCCAAGGCCGAGAAGATATCTAGCAATTCCGGCAAGGTGGCCTTGATCTGTTCCTTGGTCCTGATGCGAGCGAGCTCTGCCTCTTGTGAGGCATGCTCCAGCGCATGCTCCTCGGCGTTCGTTGTTTAGGCTTTGAGCAACAAAGAGTTGCGGGGGCAGGACTGGAAACCAACATAATTGGAATGGAACAACATGCTTTCGTTCCTAGTGAGACCCCCCCCAAAACAAAAACACACACGACACATTAAATAAAATATATACAACAAATAAAAGGGCCAACAGGGCCAACCAAAAGCCAACCCAACGGAATGGACAAAGTTGGGTGTCCCGAGTCCAGCACAAAGGTGTCTCATACGATCTCTAATACACCAAATCCTCGACCTGTAGGTCCTGGTGGCCGGTGGGGCCACCTCCCACATCCCAGCATTTACGCCCTGTTCGAACATGAAAATCACTGGTTTGTTGGGGAAAATAGTGTTCCAAAGGTCTATTTTCAGGTTCAATGTTAATCATCCCTGGTCTACAGAATGGTCACTTTGGCTTGTGCAAAAAAGAAGGACGAAGGGCTTCAAACTAGTCTTTACCTCCAATGATTACAGTAAAACATTCGCTCAACCACGTCGAATCCAAAGATAGCACTCGTGGAACGACATAGTTCAACTTACTTTCATGAATCGAAAAAAACATCTGTAAGATGCCACCTATTACAAGGCAGCGGCTCTCGCCCTGTTTTCCAACTGAGACACCACCAAAACTGCCGTCACCAGGTTCATGAGTGCGATCGAGAGGAAAAGTAGGAGCGGCAAGAAGTACACGATGAGGATGGGCTTCGCCATGACAAGTGGGTAGTAAATGTTGGCAATCCCATCCTGATGGCTGAGAAAACCCGCAGCACAATGAAATTTCGCGCTTTGTGCGAGACGGCTCACCTGAAGTAGGGGGCATTTAGAATGCCATAGATCTAGAACAAATTTTTCAATACCTCAAGATTGTTGGGGACAAAACTTGTGCATGTGCTGCGTTGTTTGCATGCGCAATCCGCAAACCTCTGTCAAAGGTTCTTTTGTTTGCAAGAAGCGCTCATCATCATTGCGGCAAGCAACACACACACAGGAAAAATAACAGCCCGAACATGCCCAGAAAAAAGGAACCAAAGGAACCAGCAAACTGCAATAGCATACCATTCACCATACATGACCATACACATTTTCAAGGTGCGAACGCTTCACTTTAACCTCTTAGGTGGGGCCCGCCCCCTAAAAATACTTATGACCTTTTATGAATATACATGTATAACTATAACTACCCTCACGTACATGCAGCAAACCTGGAGGCTGGGGAAGCGATCAGGCTTTGCACACCTGAGTTGGGCTGATTGGAGCGGGAGAACGCAACCTCCTGCATCGAGAGTGGGGGGACTCCTGCATTGTTTCGCTGAAGTGCATTGTTTCAAGCGGAACTGTTAGAAAACACCGGGTGACACGGTGACACACACTTAGATCCATGCTCGCAAGGGCTATATCAGTTTGGAACTTCCCGTGAGCTAGTTACTGATTACATTAGACTCCATCATATAGGCCTTGACCCGCATAAAACGCAAGGCGAAAGTCGGCGAAAAGTATTCATTGAACAAAGGCTCACTAGCACTTTACGAGGACAGGAGAGTCACAGCTTAGTCAACAGTTGAAAAACCGGGAATGCTTAAAAACTTGGTTGCAGGTACATGAGAGTGATCAGCTCTCACTTCCCGTGCGTCAGGTAGCTTCGTTGGACATGGTCCCTGAACGCAAGGCATGTCCCCCTGCTGAACTGTACGTACTTAGTTGTGTCAGAGGTCCTTAGGGACAGGACTTGACACACACAGAGAGCCGTATCCGGCTCACACTATATAAAAATCGGCGGGGCCGCATAAGCACTTCACTCAAAAGGCCTGATTACCAACCTAAAAAGCCTCTAGAAACGAGAGAAAAACACAGAAAGAGAAGCGAAGGCAAGAGAGAAAAACAGCGGGGAGCAGAAAAGACCTAACAAACGAAAGAAAGCAAGGAGAGAAAGGGTATGTGTGTGTGTGTGTCAACCCCTGTACCTAAGGGTTCCACCTCACCGTTTGCTTTTTGAAGCTCTTTTTCAGGAGGGGGCCAGCGGCTGACAAGCAAAGGCTGGCTAACAAAGCTATGCTTGTCGGTGGATGCACAGTCTGATCAACTGTGTGTACCTGCGACCAACTTTTGCACAAGCTGTCCAATCTGATCGGTTTGCTTTCATGGTCCTTCATGCTACCACCCCTAAACAGGTTTCCCTCCGCTTTGCAGCCGCTTCCACTTGCGCTTGTCGTGAAACTTGTGTTAAACAATACTTTTCTGCGGACTCATGCGCCTTTCCGTTCCTTCACCTTCCTTCTCAGCTTGGGAACTGAGCTAACTGAAAACCAATGTCAGAGTGTGGGGTGGGGTGGGGTGAACGGCACTTGGCCGGAAGGCACTTGGTCAGAATGTCGAAGTCGGCGTGCCCTTGACTAAAGACTTACCCCGCAACCTAAAAAGCCTCTAGCAACGAATGAAAGACCTAGAAAGAGAAAAGCCCTGGAAGGAGAGACAGCAAGACCGTGCACGAATTACTCAGTCTATGCAGACTTAGCCGCATGACCTGTCATTCTAGGCAAAATGTCAGTGGCCTCTGCAGCATACCGATAATCCAGCGGTGGTCACGCAAAAACTTTGAGCCGGTGGTAACCCCCCTGGAGGGTCACTGCGCTTCGCAGGGATCACACAGCACACCACAGTGGGACGATGCTGCGGCACACACTTAGATCCATGCTCGCAAGAGCTATATCAGTTTGGAACTTCCCGTGAGCTAGTTACTGATTACCTTAGACCTTGACTCGCATAAGCCGCAAGGCGAAAGGTCGGCAAAAAGTATTCTTTGAACAAAGGCTCACTAGCACTTTACGAGGACAGGAGAGTGACAGCTTAGTCAACAGTTGAAAAATCGGGAATGCTTAAAAACTTGGTTGCAGGTACATGAGAGTGATCAGCTCTCACTTCCTGCGTCAGGTAGCTTCATTCGACATGGTCCCTGAACGCAAGCCATGTCCCCCTGCTGAACTGTACAACTTAGTTGTGTCAGAGGTCCTTAGGAACACGACTTGACACTTGACACACACAAACAAAAACACACAAATACAATACAGCGCGCCAAATGAAAACACGTCTCTCATCGTTTTTGCCTTCTTAGGCCCTAGTGAAGCAGCGGAACGCACACGACTGGCCGAGCGTCCAATGTCACGAACTGCAGCAAGGTCAAAGTGGCACGGGGCAAACTGCTGAAGTTCTTTGTAACGATGACTGGCGGGCAGGATGAAAAAAACAATCTGGGAATTGCTAGACATTCGCAACACATTGCCATCCTGAAATGCAACGAACAATCAATGAGATAGTCTATGTCTATGTCAACTGGTTCATGCGGTTGGTCGGTATACCTTCGCCTTCAAAAATATTCAACCATATATTCAAACAGTATACAGTACTAAATCATATGGATACAACTCCAACCAAAGTGCAAAGCCGTCTGCATTGGTTGGTCGGTTTAGCCGGCGACCGGTCAACGCACGGGACCAACCCATCGATACGACCCTGCAGCCTCCGGTTCTCAAACTTCATGGCCCATAGACCACCAAAATGACCGAAAAATGGGGAGGCAACATGAGGCAACTAGCGTAGAATTGAGCCCACTATGTCACTACGTGTTGCATTCTGCAGTGAATGGAATTCAGTGGATTCCATTCTTGCACAACATGTCCAGTCATTTCTCGCCCCCATCGCCACTTCGTGTCCAGCTTTGTGTCTCACCCGGGAACGGCGCACAACCCAAAAAATCCAAAAACCCGTGCCTGCTGTGTCACTGTCGGCCTGCAACTCCGGATCGCTGGCGATGACTTCCGCAGCGATACAGCCTGACGGCGCGGTATGCGCAGCCCCGGCCCGAGCGGCGTAAGCGAGTCAGTCGAAAAGGTTTGAGACAACGTGATCAATCGAGTGTATCAAACTTTAGAGGTTGGCTGAGTGATGCTTAGAGGTTGGTTGGTTGGTTGGTTGGTTGGTTGGTTGGTTGGTTGAATTGCTTGTCCAATAACATCATAAAAATGGGAAAAAATGCGACCCACTATTCGCAACTGGATCCACTAGATCGTATGGCATCTGACGAGTACTTCTCCAGTTTAAAAGCAAAAGTTGTTTTTCCTATCTAAAGACCTGTCGCCGAGGTCGCTGCTGCTTGATGGACTGACACTGCGACCTTGTCTACAAAGAATCTCAGGCAGTGAGCTGTTGGGTGATGGTATCGGCCGCCGGCTTAGTAGGTCTCTGCCAGCCAGCCGGTCAGTGCATATGCCCTTGCATTTAAACCCATTCGTGAATCATGGGGAATTATGGGCAATTCACAGGTGTACCAGTGTACCAGATATTACCGGTTCTGATTTTATTGGTCCACTAATAATGACATTCATCTATGAAGTTCCATACTGAAGATTGTTCCATATTGTTCCTCACTCCTTTTCTTCCTCCCTTCCTTCTTCCCTCTCTTCCTCCTTCGTCATCACACCGTGATCTGCCCCGGCATTCATTAAGTGGACGGTGTCGGTGTCCTTTGTGATCCAGGCGCTCCTCGTCCCAAAAAGGACATGATGCTCATGCTGTATATGCCCATGTCACCCGCTTCGCAGTCCGAGCCACCGAAGATATAGAGCCACAAGAGGATCAGGAAGGTCCTGGGTGCACGTGGACCCTCCGCTGCTTTCTGTTGCATAGGATCTGCTGTTCGGTTTGGTCGGGCGGGTCTGAACGGCCTGAAAAAGCGGAGTTCGTTTGCGCCATGAAGTTCAAGAGGATAACATGTTGAAAGTTCACGTTACCCTCCAAAAAATGCTGTAGACACTAGACACCAGACATAGCCCCGTGACAGGTCACCCGAAGATCTGGAATGCGATAATGGAACGATGGTGATGTTGTGTATAGAATCTCCCAGAACATGAGCAACAATGACTTGTTGCCTTTGTTTCCCGCAGCAACGCCCTGTGTGCAGCGGAGCTGTGAGCTTGGAGCTAAGGGGAAGACACGCAACAGGCGAGGCCTCCATCACGAGTAACGGGCCAAGTCTCGTGGAAGCCATCACATCCCAAACGGACCGTAGCCCTGAGACCAAGCGCCACACCACCTGCGATTGAAATAGCTGTTGATGATGATTGCCATGATTGTCATTATGCCTAATTCTCTATACCAAGCCCCTGGAAGGCAACTAAATGAAATGGCGAAGGAGTGAAGCACGTGAACAAAAATCAACTTGAATCAGCACCTTGATGTACCCTACAAGATGCTTGCAAAGGAAAACTGGTGTCGAGATCCCATTCGCGTTGTGCTCAATGAGGGCAGGATTTGAACTGGATTTTGAAACCAACTGCTTGCACTGTGATTCTTTACCGACTTGCAGCTATATATATCCGCAGCTAGCACCCTGCCCTACCCCTAATTATCCGTGCCAATATAATTTCAGGTAGCTACGTCACAGCGTGCATTGAAAAACAATGACATGACCTCAAAAGGGGCCTCCGATAAGCCAGCTCGCAGTCATAGAAACAACATGAAGCACCGAAACACGCATCTTCACTGAAGATTAGACGTTGGTTGACCACCGATAATGAACAGAATAAACTACAAGGGACAGTTGGGGGCCAGGTTTTGACCCACAGCCATTTCAATCCGTGTTGGTAGCACTGTAGTAGCAGGAGTAGGAGTAGGAGTAGTAGTAGTAGTAGTAGTAGTAGTAGCAGTCGTCCTCGTCGTCGGAGTAGTGGTAGTGGTAGTGGTATAGTGGTAGTGGTAGTGGTAGTGGTAGTGGCGGTGGCGGTGGCGGTGGCGGTGGCGGTGGCGGTGGCGGTGGCCGTGGCCGTGGCCGTGGCCGTGGCCGTGGCCGTGGCCGTCGTCGTCGTCGTCGCCGTCGTCGTCGTAGTAGTAGTAGTAGCAGCAGGAGTAGTAGTAAGTAGTAGTAGTAGTAGTAGTAGTAGTAGTAGTAGTAGTAGTAGTAGT